TTTTTTTTTTTTTTTTTTTTTTTTTTTTCATAATTTATTTATATGATGCATGCAGAGTGTGCAGCATAATTCAGGGAAAAAATCAGTGTACATTTGCGCAAGAATTGTACATGTTAAGCATTTATTTTTACGGGATGTCACGATGAAATGAATTAGACGTTGTCCCGTATGCATGGGGTGAAGAGAGCACGCAGAGCGGAGAAATATACGTGCTATGCCTCTTCGCCCCACGTCGTCTTTTTTTTTTTTTTTTTTTTTTTTTTTAAGAAAATTTTCACATGTTGATACTTGTTTGTGACTTTTTGGCTCTCATTTTGGGTTCCCACATATGTTGGCTCTCATATGTGGGCTTCCACGTTTTGGCTTCCATTTTTTTGGCTCCCATTTGTTGTCCCCCAATTTTGGCTTCCATATTTTAAAACCCTCCATATTTCAACTCCCCTATTTTTTGACGCTTCATTTCTGATGCGTCACACTTCATGTGGCAATTGTCCCCCTTTTGTTCATCCATTCGCAATTTTTTAAATCGCGCATTGTGTGGTAACCCCCTGTGAAGGGGTACGGGTGGGTGGTCAGGTGCACACGTCACCACGGCGACGTACGCGCTGGACGCGCCAGCACTACGTAATTATGTTTTTCTTTTTCAAGCTGTCGTAGACATCTTCAGGCAGTTTTTCCAAAATGTCTTTGCTGTATTTCTGGAGGAGCTTCATCTTCTCCTTATTTATGAGTTCCTCGTACTGCTTTTGCTCCTCGATAAGTTTGTTCTTTTCTATTTCTTCTTGTAAGCGTTCGTCCTTGACTGTGTCCTTTTTCTGTTGGAAGGTTTCGTATATTTCCTTCCTGTATTGTAATAATTTTTCTTTCCTTTTTTTATCAGTGTATTGATCAATTTTATCTAATTTTTTTTTTTCTTCAAGTAATTCAATTTTTCTTTTTTCGTCGTCTTCTTTTTCCTTTTGTCTTTTTTGTTCCTTTAATTGGATATCAATTTCGAGTTGTTTTAGCATTTCATTTTTGAGTTGTAATTTTTTTTCATTTTCTTTAATTTCTTTTTGTTTTTCCTTAAAGTCGTGTTCTTCAATGTACACCTTATTTAGCAGCTCGTCAAGAGTTTCTTTTTCTTTACTTATGAGGTATTCTTTATGTGCCAATTCGTTAACAACTCTTTGTTTCTCTAGACATTTTTCTTGTTTTTTTTTTTGTAAGTTTTTAATTTTTTCTTCTTTCTGTTTAATATATTCCTGATTTTTTAGTTCCTCTTCTAACTCTTTTTGTTTTTCCAGTTGTTTTTTTTTATTTTTCAATTCAATTTGTTCTTGAAATTCTTTTAGTAGCTTCTTCTGCTTTAATAATTCTTCTTCCTTTTTTTTTTTTTCTTCTTCATTGTAATTTTTAACTACATTTTCGATTTTGTTTCTTTCTTGCACACTTCCATAAAACATGTTTTTCTTCTTGTTCAGATTTTCTTGTATTTGTTGTTGTAATTCCATTTTGGTTTCCATAACTTTTTCATAATTTTTTTTTTTTTTTTCTTCTTCTTCCAATTCTTCTTTTTTCAGTAAATCTTCTCTTTGTTTTTCAATTCGTTTATTTTCATCTTCTGTTTCTTTTATTTTGCAAAATTTCGCATCACGGATTTGATTTTCCCTCACTTTTAAAGTGGCTATTTCTTCTAATTTTCCTTTTAATTGTTTATATCCTTCGTCATTTTGTAATGCTTGTTCTATAGCTTTTTGTCTCAATGCTTCATCTGCAATTTCTTTTTCTTTTTTTTGTTTTTCATTAAGTAATTCACATTGCTTCAATCGATTTTGTTTAATTTTCTCGCTATCAAATTGTAGTGATGTAAAATATTCTTGTTCATCTCCCCCATTGGCATTATTTCCTGTTTTTTCAAATTGAGTCTCTTCCGTTTCGTTTTCTCTTTTAAAGGATGCCTCTTCTTGTTGCTTCTTCGTTTGCGCTGCATCAGCTTTGTCTATTGATATGCCCTGTATTTTGCTGTACGTGTCTAATTTCAAATCGTTCTGTATTCTTTCTCGAGCGTATTCATTCTTTTGCTCTCTCTGGATCCTCGCGTTGATTGTCTTTTCATTGTATCGTTTCATTTAATTGTGTTCGTAAAAAAAAAAATAAGGTTACTGTGGATGGGAGTGCGTGGATATCATACGCCTAAAAGGGATTCCTGCAAATCCGTCACATCTATGGGTGCGCTGAGGGGTAATTTGGCGAAGAAGTGGGTACTTCTATTCTTCACCCAGGAATGCCAAACGTTGGAGCATGGTTCGAGGAGTGCTCTTTGGACCCCCTAATTAAAACCGTCGCCTTTTGGTGGACTTACGAAATGGTAAAAAAGTTCGAGTTTGTCGAAAAAGGTAATTTCCTTTTTTTTTTTTTTGTTGTCCTTCCCCTACTGACATGTAAGAATATTCGTAATAAACATACCAAAGATGGCGCTGTCCATTATTTCCACAGCTTCTCACAAGTGTAAATGAATTATTGTTATGTTTTTACGCGATAAGAATAATTTTTGGCTTTAATTGTGTGTTTTTTTTTTTTTTTTTTCTCCATTTTGTTATTTCTGTGCCCCTTTTTTTTCCTTGCTTTTTTTTTTTTTTTTTTTTTTTTTTTTTTTTTTTTTTGCAATGTATAAGGGCATATCTGCACTCCTTTAAGCGGGATCACCGATGGCCTTCCATATCGCCTCCGTTGAAAAGCACTAAAATGAAAAAATGAGGTTTAAATGGGTATAATACATGAGTTCTTCGAAACGCACACACATCGATGTAGCGTTGTATACGCAGATCTCATTGTATACAAAATTGCCATTTTTCCTTTTTGCAAAAAGCAAACAAAAATACAAACATGTACATGGGTTCTCAAACCTTATCGCGATTGCGATGTCTGCAATCAGCATCGCTGGGATATTAGCGGGGCACCTGTACCCTACACACATTTGAAATACGTGGGATGCTGAATAAAATATAAAGATAACACCATACATGATGTAATGAAAAACAATATATATGTGTGCCATTCTGCTGCCTCGTTCTCTTTTCACTCATTTATTCTGTCGCTTTGCTTTATTTCTTTTCGCGGGGGTACCAAAACGTGTGGGTCTCACCGTCGACACAAGGCGGCAAATCATGAGGGTGGACTGCAACGCCAGATTAATTTTATGGGCTGTACCCAGTGTCCATTCCTTTTGTGTGCCATTTTACTACACCATTTTTGGCGAATTACTTTTACCCTAACACTGAATCACAAACTGGTGGTTACATATCTTCCCTACACAGTTGGGTAAACGCGATAAGACCTGTCGCATCTACGTACGGGTGGTGGTGATCGTGGTAGCACGAGTGGCCAAGGTGAACATTTTAAGTTGTATGCTTTAAGTCCTCATTTAAAAAAAAGTTTAACCTTTTGCGTAAGCAAGAAACTTTGATCTTGCTCACACTCTTTTAAGAATGACGGTAATGCTTTTCTACCAGTCACTATGTTACGCAGTGGCACCAGGTCAAATTACGGGATGTGCATTTTCCCATTGGGTACATATGCCTTAGGGTAGGCATAGCATTTTTAATTGAGATGTCTCAAAATACCTTCACATGACTCCTATTAACACAATTTTTTTATGCTGCACACGAGGCATGTTTCCTCCTTAAATGTACGCACTTGTGGACGCTTCGAAAATTCGCAGCCGGGTACCTATGTTCCCGGAGCACGCACAAATTGTTGCACAAATGGGCGCAACGGGGGAAAAAAAAAAAAAAATAATAATAAAGTAGCAAAATGGAAAAATGAAATAACAAAATGGCGCAGAAAAAAAAAAAAAAAAAAAAAAAAAAAAGTACAACAACAAGCTAACGAAACAAAACGCGGCATAGCAAAGTGAAACAAACAAAAAAAAATACATAAACCTAAGACGTTGTGACCGTTTGTGCTACCTGTGGTGAGCCCGCGAGACTTTGCTGTGTTGTGAAAAATTACAAAGCAATGCTCACGCAAGGCAGCCTAAGTTAATTCTCTGGGAACCCAACGGGAGCGATCCACAAGTCATTCGATGCTTCTGCAAAAGGAAGTGAACGTACGCTTGGCCCAATATAGCCATTCAGCGCACTTAACTCTCGCCAGAGACCTTCACGGCAGCAGGGGGAGGGGAAAAAAAAAAGGAACCCCGTCTGTGTTGTAAAAATCGCCTTAAAGAGGCGCGATACCGTTGGGGGGTATTTCGAACAAGTTAGGCATTCTTAAATTGTGAAGCGCACACGCATCTATATTGTAATGCGCATGTGTGTAATGTACACATTTATGCGCTCAAGGATGATGAAAATGAATAACCTAAAAAATATAAAAGTTCTTTATCGCCACATCCTAAGTGAAGCTTCCAAATTTGAAAACATAAACTACAGCGTCTACTTCACAAACAAGGTTAACAGCGCATAACAAATTTGTTCAACAAAAAAGGGGTCACTGTTTTTTGTTTGGATGGAAAGCAGCGTATATTCCAGACGCAGATAAATTTGCAAAGAACAAAACGCGTAATTGACCGCTAATATATTTTACCGCTCATATATATTTCATCTCCTTCCGCAGGCCAAAGATACCTTCCGAGAATTTTTTAGCAGCAACCATGTGAACCACAGCGATGAAAAACTGAAGGCGTTTGAGAAGGAGTGCCAGGAATACCTTAACATGCTGAAGAGACAAACGGTGGTGCACAACATGTACCACGTGGATAAGCCCCTGGTGACTAAATGAAGAAACGGTATCACACTCGTTGGGGGATAAGTGGGGCGGCATGGTCGCAACTTTGCTTAGACCGCTTTGCGCCAGTGACGCTTCGTCATTGATACAGTGCTTTACCTCGCTAGCCCATTCTTTCCATTTTGGGTTGCTTCATTTTTTTGCTTTTTTTTTTTTTTTGTCCGACGAAAGGTTGCGCCGATAGGCCACCCCTAAAAAGAAACTTCTTTATTTGAACCAATCCAGAGAAAAAAAAAAAAAAAAAAAAAGTGAGCAGTGTATAGACAACACATTGCACACAAGTCTCATAAACATATGAACCATTTTGCTTTAAAAAAAAAAAAAAGTTTGCACGCAGCTTTCACGGAGTGACCGCTCAAAGTGTGTAACTATGCAGAGTGTGCTACCCATACCTTGGCACGCGGCTAAAACAGCATAGGGACGGGACAGTAACCCAGCCCAGGGGCGGTAGGATTATACACAGTATATATCCCTTTTTGATAATTTTCCTTAACACCATAAGGCCAGGAATTTGAAATATGTGGTTTATACTCCTTGGGCAGTGCATAATCGGATGGAGGTTGCTCTATGGGGTGTCTGGTGTATCTAATAGTTTGTCCCTTGGGATCTTTCATAGGTCTGGGTCTATATTTGCCTTTCCATAATTTTTGCCTAATTAGAAATTTACATCTATCTCCATCCACAGCAGCAGCATTGATGGCTTTGGATCGATCTCTGGTCGCAACTTTGCTTAGACCGCTTTGCGCCAGTGACGCTTCGTCATTGATACAGTGCTTTACCTCGCTAGCCCATTCTTTCCATTTTGGGTTGCTTCATTTTTTTGCTTTTTTTTTTTTTTTGTCCGACGAAAGGTTGCGCCGATAGGCCACCCCTAAAAAGAAACTTCTTTATTTGAACCAATCCAGAGAAAAAAAAAAAAAAAAAAAAAAAGTGAGCAGTGTATAGACAACACATTGCACACAAGTCTCATAAACATATGAACCATTTTGCTTTAAAAAAAAAAAAAAAGTTTGCACGCAGCTTTCACGGAGTGACCGCTCAAAGTGTGTAACTATGCAGAGTGTGCTACCCATACCTTGGCACGCGGCTAAAACAGCATAGGGACGGGACAGTAACCCAGCCCAGGGGCGGTAGGATTATACACAGTATATATCCCTTTTTGATAATTTTCCTTAACACCATAAGGCCAGGAATTTGAAATATGTGGTTTATACTCCTTGGGCAGTGCATAATCGGATGGAGGTTGCTCTATGGGGTGTCTGGTGTATCTAATAGTTTGTCCCTTGGGATCTTTCATAGGTCTGGGTCTATATTTGCCTTTCCATAATTTTTGCCTAATTAGAAATTTACATCTATCTCCATCCACAGCAGCAGCATTGATGGCTTTGGATCGATCTCTTGAATCTGGGATGGCAAATAATATGCATTTAATTTTTAGCAAATTGCATGTATGTTTGTATAATTCGAAATCTGTTTTGTATAGGTACTTCATTAATTTTTGTCTTCTAGCTAGCCAAATGGACATGGTTCTTTTTTTCGGATGATCCTTACATCTGAGAATTAAGTGAGCCCTTAAATTTAGGATCTTTTCTGTTAAGCATCCAATTTGAACAGGGGCGCTTCCAGTATCGAATGGCCTTCTCTGCAGACATCGTCTTATACACAACTTTTTATATTTATGTAATTGTTTGTTGTTTGCACAATTCAGATGTAACATATTTATGATATTTTTTCTTAGGTGCTTTATGTCATCGTATTGCCATAGTCCTATGAACCCGTTTGGTATTTGATTCCTTTCCGCTAGGAAATCTCTTTCGGCTTTTAAGTACCACTCTGTTTTTTGGGCATGCGTTTTTATGGCAGTTATACCTGTATATCTATGGGCCTTCACTCTGGACTCATATCGCTTTGCGCATCTAATGAAGGGTGCATGGTGATCTTGAGTTAGTAGTACGTGGAGGTTATTTCGTTTAAACGCTCTACTCAGGATGTTCATTTTTTTGGGGTGGGTGGGGGAGAAGTTCTACTATCACATAAAAAAAAGGGATGCAAAAATGGGGCCACTCTGATTAAATGCCTGATCTAAGAATTACCCATTTGGTTATCTGCTTCGCGCCTATTACGCGGCAATAGATAGTGCATGTTGCACACCAGGGTTGGGCACGCCTATGTGTATTTAACTGGTGAATCGCTCCTCCTGCGTGTTGATTTGCACCATCCAACACGGACAGAGAAAAGGATATGCATCTCTGTTGAAGATTGGCTGTTCCCGTACTCTGCAATTTGGTCATTCGTCACCTTGCGTTATTACCACGGCATTGCTCAGTGGCTCGCATGTGGCGTACACTTGTTGAGACGTGTCAGGGTATAAATATGTGTAGATCCACATATGTACGTGTAGTAGCGTTACTGCATGTGTGTATATGTGGGGGGGGGGGTAATTTAAGGGCTCCAAATATTAACCTTTTTATTATTTATAGAAGTGGGACCTGCCCATTATGATGAATAGATATACACCTTTGTGAAGAGCCCACTGACACAAAGCGTTCCCTCAGAATGGGGGGAAAACACCATTTCGCCCATGCCCTTTATTCATTTTCTTTACTATATAAGCGAGCTACATATGGTGTGGTAAAAAGATGCGCGTGTGAGATTTGAAACCTCTTCTGTTCTTCTTCGAACTGTGCGAGTGAAAAAAATATTTTTTTTCAAATTACCCCTTCCCATGTTTAACATCAGTCAGAGCGCGGCATAAAGATTGCGGCAACATGGGGCTGCACAAAAGGGGGGTAGCCAAATCTTAGCCCTAATGCGCTTGCCCACTCTTTAATTGTGAACGCATGCGCAGAGGTACGCATGTGCAGAATGTGAACCATATAAAACAGTAGAAGACCTCGAAGAAATCATTTTTTATTCACTCCGAAGTTACGTGAACAGTGAAAGCCACAAATGAACTAAACACTCGCAAAAAATCTGACAAAAGAAATATTTATAAAAGGGGGACAATCAAGTCGTGAGGCAAGCCAATCAAGTTATAATGACACCACCGCACAGCCACTGTGAGGCGACAGCAAACACAGATGAGCGGTTCCAATTTGCAGGGTGAAACGACGCACCAACATGCGGGAAAAAAAAGAAAAAAGAAAAAAGAAAAAAAAAAATAGAACAAAAAAATAGAAAACATAAAATATAGGAAAAAAAAAAAATAGAGAAAAAATTGTTGCCCAGCATTTCGCAACCGCGGTGGCATACGAAACTTGTCAACATACTTATCGCGAGAAAAAAGCTGCCAACTTTTGCCTTCATGAAAAAAAAAAAAAAAAAAAAGCTCGCTGCTCTTTTCCACGAGTTCTGCAAAGGTTTAGCATAAAAAGGGGCATTCTCTTGTAGGCCAGGCCCCACTTAAAATTGAATTTACTTTAGAATGATTGTTCCCTTTGTGGAGGACATTGTTGCATTTTCGAAAGTAGCCTTCTGAATAGGTTATTTTATTCTTTTCTGCCAATTTAGAAAAAAAAAAAAAAATGCATAGACTTTTTTCCACCAATGGAAGACTTGAAATCAATCCTGTGGTCTGTGGAAGAGCTGATTTACCTCAGTCCAGAAAATGATGCATTTTACGAAAAAGAAGAGACAGAAATAACGGCAAAACTGACCGATTTGTGTAGGAGCCATGCAGGAGAAGAGGCGCCAGAGGCGCCGACAAAAGAGAGTGAAGTAGACTGCCAAGCAGAAGAGTTAAGATCTGAAGTTAGAAACTTCTTCCACTTTTTAAAGTTGATTAAAGCGGGGAACCATAAAGAGTGCATCGTTGACCCATGGGTACGAGACATATTTCAGTTCATTAATGATACTCTTAAAAATGACTGCATCAATAGTATTAGTCTGGTGAAGAAGGAATTGTTCTATTATGTTTATCGCGCTAAGGTAGATATAGGGAAGAGATGGTGTCCCAAGGAGGAGGAAAAAAGTGAAGGCCTGAATGGCAATAAAGTTTTGTTGTTTCAAGTGTGCTTTACGTTCTTTTACGAAATAAAGATTCTCCTCTGCTGTTGCGCATTTTTGAATATGTTCGTACAGTACAATTGGACAGGGCCTCCACCCCCCACGGGGAAGAGCGAAAAGGAGAAAGTGCAAACATCAGATGTATGCGATGAAGACAATCATTTTTGCCAATTCATTCAAACGATGAAAATAAAAAATGAAGAGTTTTTAAATTCATGTTTGGAATTTTTATCGCTTGAAGGGGAGGTCATATATGCCCACTGTGAGTTGATGAATGCCTTCTGTTTATCCGTAATTTTGCTAGACCTAGTGAACAATTTTAATGAAAACGATCAGCCGATTATGTGTTCAAATGAGTATAGCTACTTCGAGGAGGGGACACCAAACAGGGTGGCAGAAAACTCTGAAGATGATAATTCTTCAACGCAACACATGACATGTGTGCCTGGTAAGGAAAATGTCATCGTGAAGAACAAAAAAAAAATATATAATGAGAAGAAGCTTTTACACTTTGTTACAAGCAAATATTTGTGGAAAGCCAGAATCTACTTCATATGGCAGAGACTGTTTACTTCATCTAGCAACGACTGGTTTTATTCCTTGAAAATCCACGTAGTGGACATTCCACGTAGGATATTTAAAAATGTAAAATTGCTGACCAGCGATTTTGAACTCATTGATCAAGAATTAAATGTCATTGAAGAGGTACCAGACATTTTTGCCCATTTGAAACAAAATGAAAAGGATTTGCAAAATTGCGACATTTTTTTTGAAAATTACATGTCGCAAAATTTCCAGATTTGTGCCTTATCTAACTTTTCCATATACTTGGCCTTCTACAATTATGTATATGGGTACCAGAGGGTACTGGACGTTCTTGCGGAGATGAGTCAATTTAGCTACTCCTTTACTGGAAGAATGGGCATAAAGAGAAAGTATCAAAAGATACCTGCCACCATTTTAGTGTTGAAGGCGAAAAAGGGACAGGAGGAGGACAACACGTCTGTAGTTTTGAAAGAAATAGAGCCTCTCAGTGAGTACGACATATTGAGGAGTGATTACCGAATTATTGGTGAGGAGAATGGGGGCGATGACAAAAAAGAGGAAAATAAAAAGAGGGAACACGGCGCAGGTGAGGAAGCTTGCTCCAGTTTGGTCGCTTCCCAAAAGGTGACTATAAAGGAGGGAAGCTGCCACGTTGGTGAAGAGAAAGTGGATAAAATGAGCCCAAAGGTAGAAAAGTGCGTGGAAGAACATATAGATAAAATGACCTGCACAAAAAGGGAAGCACAAAATTGCCAGAAGTGCATACCTCATAATATGAATCACATTGGGAAGGAGAAATCCCACGACAAGTGCACCTGCTCTGGAGGACAAATCCCCACCAACAATGGCACAGATGAATGTATACCAAATAGGGACCAAGAGGGTAAAAAAGATGCAACGGGAAAAGTAATGTGGAAATTAAAAGACCTCGACCCAGATACAGACATATTAGAAGAGCCATATTTTATGGACTCACAAAATAATTATTTTAAAATATTAACATTTGATGAACAGATCACTTTGATAAACTTTTGCTACTCCATGATTCGATTCAATCCACACTACGACGAAATAAAATTTGAAAAGATAAATGCTGTTATATCTAGGTGCCTCAAATGCTATGATGTTGTAAATGTGGAATCGAGGAAGAAGGACCAAGATAGGATAAAAAATAGAGACAACAATTTGTTACAGAAAAAATATCAGAATTGGTTACTGCACTCATGTATTCTATGGTATAAGTGCAAATGTGAAACGTTTCGATTGAAGACTGTAGATAGAGCTGCCGCACAGCTAAATGAATTACTGAAAGAGACATACGATATGAAACCTCATGGGGGAGAAAGGGTAAAATTCCTTTTTGATGTGTACTATCCAACCACTTGGGAATTGAAAAAAGAAATAGGAAATGTTATGGTGAAAACGGGATCCGTAGTGTCCGCTTTCAACCTTTTTAAAGATTTGAAATTATGGGAAGAAGCGATCACTTGTTTGATTCAAGCAGATAGAAAAGAAGAAGCAAAAGAGTTGCTAGATGATCTACTAGAAAAGAAGAAAACTCCCGCTTTGTTATGTTTATACGGATTGGTCGATGCGCATAATGCCTTGAACTATTACATAGATGCGTGGAAGCTGTCAAATTATAAATATGCGAAAGCGGCCAGATTTATTGGGAATTATTACTACCGTAAGGAAATGTACAGTCCGTGTTGTGAATATTTAGAAAAGGCTTTAGAAATATCTCCCCTTTTTCCAGACATTTGGTTTATTCTAGGTTGCTCCTACATGAAAATCGAAAAAATCGATGAGTCTGTAAAAGCATTCACACGTATGGTTAGCATGACGAATGAGGATTCTGCAAAGGCTTATGGAAATTTGGCCTACCTGTATATGAAAAAAGAAATGTATAAAGCAGCAAGAATTTGTATAAACCAAGCTGTCAAAGTTGACAATAATGAGTGGAAATATTGGGATACTTATCTTAAATTGTCCATTATGCAAAATGACGTGGATTGTTTCTGCTTGGCATTGATCACTTTATGTCAACAGAATAAAGTCAAAGAGATACAGCCTTGGATTTATGAATACATCTCTGATCTTATTGTAAATGACAAGCCGACCCTAATTCCGGATAAAAATGGATTGAGTTATCTGGACAAAGTTATTACAACCATGGGCACCATATCGACGTACATTGCTGAATGTGACCGCTACTGGAACGCCTATTCCTTTTTTCTCTTTATAAAGGGCAGATTCGTTGACGCGTACGAGGCAAAAGTTAAGGAGATACGATCCTTAGAGGTATGCATGGGTGGCGCAGCGCCTCCGCAAATGGGTGTGAGCGTACACACCTGTGTACAATACGTGTGTATATGTATATCCTCCTTCTTTTTTCTCCCTAAACAATTCCTTCAACATCACTTTTTTTTTTTTTTTTTTTGTTCTTTTTCCCCGCCCACCCCTGTACAGAGTGTAGCACAAAAGTGCACCACCAAAAATGTAGTTGACAGGCTGGTTTCCAAACAAGTAGCCGCTGTCAAATTCCTGTATCATATTATCAAGACGCATTACGTCGAGGAGCAGAAAGGGTAAAACGCGTGCTTCTTTCCCGTTTGGAAAATTTGAAAATGCACAATGGCGAACAATGTTGTAAAAATATATTTCTTTATTTTGTTTTCATTTTTTTTGTTTTTTTTATAGAACCTTTGAATACCAGTTAAGGAACATTATCGAGTCCATTTTGAGGCAGTACAAGGACATGAGTCAGCAGGAGGTAACTGAATTGTCGCAAATTATGCAGATTATAAAATGAAGAATTTTTAAGGAGTAACCATTTTGACAACGTATAGTTAACCGAAGAGTAGTATGCGTGAAAATGTCGCACGTCCATGTTAGCATTATAAAATGTGCCTAGGAGTGAATTGTGTAGCTAAACCGCCAAGACGTGCGCCATCCCGCACCTTTTAAATTAGCTTACGGTTGTTATCAATTTTGCGAATTGAAAAAGAATGGGCCCCTCTATTTTTCCATCCATTAATCGTACCAATACATGAACGTGCATATGTGCAACAGGAGTGTACCTGTTTTTAGAGTACCACCCCAAAATTACGTACTTGTATAGTATTATGAGAAATGATTTTGAGACTGGTTATATGATTGATTAGTCTGTCCATTTTATGCAATTTTTTGTTGAGGACATAGGTCCCTTTGTGTAAAATATTGCGCTTATTAAGAAGTTTACATAATCGCTGATGTTTCTTTACTATTTTGTTTTTTTTTTTTTCAAGCCTTTTTAACAACTCGTTATAGCCCTCGTTAGGCCATTTTTACTGCCTTCTAATTTTTTTTTTTTCGTGTTTTGCCATGTGAAAGCTTTCCCAAATTAATGGCAAAGGAAATGAACTTGTTTTACCTTAAGAAGGAACATGTAACAGTTTTAAACTGTGTAGAAAAAAAAAAAGTGCTGCATAACGGGAAATTTAAAGTGTCGTGGTGGATAAATAGCTTTTTTTTTTTTTTTTTTCCGGAACATTTGGCTAGCTGTGTGTTCCAAGGTATAATTTGTAGGTAATTTCACACGGCGTAGCTTTACAAATAGTGCACACATTACGGGATGCAACTAAGTGTGCACAGAACGTTTCTTTCTTTTCCAATTATCTTTTGAGCTTGAACGGGGAGTTGCCACCCTTGACAGTTATATACACATATAACACGCAAAAAAGGCGTATTGGAAAAGGAGGCACCATAAACAAGTAACATTCAATTTTTCCTTTTCCGTGTGTACACAGATATATAGTAAAAAAAAGGGCGCATTAACAGATTAAAAAATTGGCTGTATTAATGAAAAGATTTTTTTTTACATGCACAAACCAAAAAAAAAAAAAAGGGTAAAGGTAAAAAAAAAAAAACAAACAGCCATGCAGCCGAAGCAACCGACGCGGTCAAAACAGCCAAAACGGATGGAACACACAAAAAAAAAAAAAACAACAACATCACAATTGCGGCCAGCAAAATAGCCATGGTCGGTCAATTGTTGTTATGAGGAAAAGTCAACAAATTAATTAAATCCATTCTGCAAATTTGTTAATTTTTAATTTTACAAAACTGTACGAAAAACTATTCGCGATTGTACACAAGTGTAAATGCGTGTGTGTTTATAAATTTGCTATTTTTTCGTTTCACCACTTTTTTCTGTTCTGTTCTGTTATGTTTTCTTTTTTTTTTTTTTTGTTTCATTTTGTTATTTATTTTTTCTCTACTCAGTTGTTACCTTTTGACGTAATTTGATTTCCTTCATAAAAAAATTGCCGCCTTAGTACTCACACATAATTGGCAATATTAAATTGTCTTTTAATTTGGAACCATATTTGACAACGTTTGAACGCTACTTTACGTGATTGCAAGTTAACTGTTTCACCCAAGTGAATTGCTCCAAGTGAACTCCTAGCTTTTTTATTTGACCTTACTTCATTTAACCCCATAACGCAGTGCGCGCACATCTCAGTTGCGTTGTTTTCCTGGATTTGCATTTGCCCTTCGCGTTTTTCCTTTTTTTTTCCCCCCTTTTCGTGGATACAAAATGGCCTTTACACACCTCTGCGGGGTCCAGGCAACCCAAAGTCCCGCCACCATCAACACCTTCCTGACCAAGGCTCAACATGACATCACCTTGACTGCAGCTGACACGAGGATTTTTATAAAGAACATAAAAACAGGTGTGACCATAGATCAGTTCAAAAATTCCCTTCAACAATACGGAGCCATGCAAGTTTACTTTTACGAACCAGGAGATAATGATGACGGCTGGGCTTGGGTTGGATTTGAAAGTAAGGAAGCTGCCCAAAGAATTGTCGAAGAATGCGAAAAGGCAAGAGAGCTGGAAGAGGCAAATAATCAAAATAGCGAGAATGGCAACAATGGCGAAAACGGCGAGAATGACGAAAATAACCCAAAGGATGAAGAAAATGAACGTGGAGATTCAAACAGCTTTTACGCTGAAAATGAGGATGAAAACCAACAGGAAGAGGAGGAAGATGAAGACAGCGACGACTATTAATTTTGTTTAACCCAAATTGCTAAAAGGAAGTGTAGCTCGTTCTTTATCAGGCTTCCTATCCTCCCACACCACCCGCTGCTGCGCAATCTTCAACAAATCGTAGTTTTGTGAAGCAGAAGAAAATATGGTCATATGTGTAAAAAAAAAAAATTTTTTTTTTTTTTTTTGTCCACTATAAATGGAAATGTTGCTTGTACGAACGAAATAAAGGCAGATTTTGCTTATGCTCCTACTTTTCCTTTTTTTTTTTTTTTTTTTTAATTCATCTGTTGATCTACTTGGCATTTTTACTATCCTTGTGAATTTACAAAAAGACCTAAACCTTTTCGTTTTAAAAAAAAGTTCTCTGTGCAAAAAAGGAAAGAAAAAAACTGTCCACATTTTTACACAAATGATGACAAATATATATGTTTTGCTACTTCTTTTAGCAAGAGATAAATTGTGTGTATATTCCTTTACATGTGCGTAATGTTGGCGATATGCGACATGATGCACTTTGAGCGAAGTTCACTCGTCTTTATGACATTATTTTTTATGTGCAGTGTCGGGCGTACAGAACATCATCCCTTTTAAGGGGATCTGCTGTCTTTTCCCGCGCTCTTCCCGTTCCTTCAATGCGTGCATAGATTTCATGTGAAGGGGTTTCAAAGGGGTCGCAGATATATGTGTAACCACGTGAGGGTTAATTCGAAAGAGTTGATAAGGTTTCTTATTTTATCCTCTTTTGAGAAATTTTTCACATGAACAAAAGGTATAAACTTTTGGACTACTCACAATGGGAGAGTAGGTTCGTTGTTGAATTTTTTGGGGAGGGGTTTCCCCCCTTTAACACCCCTTTTGTGATGAGGAAGTAGCGGAAGATCTCTGCCAGTAGGGTTTCTTTATACATTTATCTTCGCGTGTTGTATGTGTATGATCTGGGTGGCGTACATTAGCCACCCATGCGAGTGGTGCGTCTCATTGCAATATGTTGGCGATGAGTCCTGTTTCAGTGACGTGCGCAATGTGGAACAAGAATGAATTTGATTAAATGCTTTAGAATGATTTTTATTAAAGAAAGGTTGCTTATTCAGTAGGCGGGTGTCACTGCATACTTTTTTTGGACTTCACATCATCGGAGTCGCGCGTTTCCTATTTTTTTTTTTTAAATATATTTCTCCAGAACGTGCGAAGCGGCATGCATTTTTTTTTTTTTTTTTTTTTTTGCCCAAGTTGACTAGGAGAACAAATAAAACCGTATATATAAGAACAGCACGAAAGGTTGTTATTGCAACGCATGAGGGGAAAAATGAGGAAGGTAAAGGATGCACTTATATAAGTGTTCTTCATGAAAAGTCTCATATTATCAATTTGTGGAATGCCCACAGATTATAAGTCGCATGCGCGCATTTTTTTTTTTTTTTTGTATATGCTGGTACACGCTATTACTTGGTCGATCTGTTAACCCCATAGCAAACCCGTTTTTGTGCGCATGGGCGTATAACTAAATTATGAATAGAATAAAAAAACAACGAATTCGTTCTTCCAGAACATAAAGGTAGCTATGTATGTCATTAAGGGATGCTCCATTTTGTCGTGAGTTCGCACCGTCTTAATGATACAAAAATAAATAGGATATGCATAAGAAAGTAAAGAAAAAAAAAAAAAAGAAGCACATTTAAGTTAAAATTGAGTAGACCTTAGCTCGAAGAGGAAGAAGTATATGCATACATAAGCACTTACCCCCTCTGGCTTCCTTCCATATAACTACCCCTCTCCCAATTGTACCTATACTTGTTTTGTATGCTCAAGCATGGGATGCGGATCAAGTTCACCAAGATTAGCATCGACCAGAAACATCAACATTGTGACATCTGCGTCGGAGCAGCAAAAAAAAAATGATACAAAAGTGAAGATTGTTTTATTAGGGGACAGTGGAGTTGGGAAGTCGAGTATAGCCCTGTACTTGTGCCACGGTCGATTTACCGAAAAGCACCAGGTGACAATAGGAGCTGCCTTTCTGCATCACAGCATTGAGCTTAAAAATGGTAAGTAAAACCTTACAGATGGGGGAGATCACACATATATATCTTTATATGTATACATTCATGTGTAAGAAGCTGTTTTTTCGCATTGCGTTGTAGTGTGCCTGTGTCTTCCCTCATGGATAGAAAAATGCGCATGGACAGATGTGCATGGCGTAGGATATATGGAACATGTGTGTTTCTTCCCCCTCTTTAGGTGTTACTATGAAACTGCACATATGGGATACCGGAGGACAGGAGCGATTTAGGTCCATGGCGCCGCTGTACTATCGCGATGCTTATGGGGCTGTAGTCGTATATGACTCGAAGTAAGTTTCTTGCGCATTGCCTCCCCACATGGGTTGCACACATGCAGATGTATACGTTGAGGGATATTTGTGTGCACATTTATACACCATGCGTTTCACTCCCCCACCCCAACCCTCAATAATATACGCAGCAACGTGGAATCCTTCAACTCACTCAAGTACTGGATTAATGAAATAAAGTCGAATGGATCGCGAAACTGTTGCATCATGGTGGTCGCAAATAAAAAGGACCTTCCACAAAAGCTGAATTCGGAGGTGAGAAAAATAAAAAAAAATAAAAAAAAATAAATGTCGAAATGGATCATATGTTATGCACAGTTCATGTGAATGCTCATCCTATGTGTTGGTTGTTTTCCGTTGTGAGATGACATTCTTTTTTTTTTTTTTTACTACGTACAACGACGTCGTCTTTTCTCTTTTACGTTGCAGATGGTGATGAGGTTCTGCGAACAAGAAAATGTGTCCTTTATCGAATGTTCCGCCAAGGTAAAAATTGAAAAATATATTAAAATGTAGCCGGGTTTGGGAGAATGCAATAATGTGCGGAAAAACGTGCCGTACGCAAATGGACAGATGGTCCTATAGTAGAGGAATTACAGTTAACCGAAGAATGAAAACCAACTATGTTCTCATAAAGAGGGGGGAATATACTTATTTTCATCCCTGTTTACATTTTTTTTTTTTTTTTTTTTTTTTTTTTTTGTTTTGCAGACCGGTGAGAATATTAACACCCTTTTTGAAAAAATAGGTAAACACGTCATTTCACTTTTTCGAAATAAAGTGCTCACTGTAGCATTCGTTTGTGATTGTTATTTCGTGCTTGTCTTCCATTGTGCCTCTCATCTATTCAATGTCGTAACCCATGTTGCTGTCGCCCCTTTTATATACGCAGCAAGCCGCATTTATTTGAGATTCAAAGAAGTGTTATATTACGATGGCCCATAATGTAAGCCCCACACCCACAAACAGGTATGAAACAAGAAGGCCAGGCCAGACCAGACAAATTATACGCTTTTCTTTTTTGTTTTTTTTTTTTTTTTTTTGCCACCAATGTTTTGTCCTGCCCATTGATTCGTTCACCCTCTGTAAATTGTTTAAAATGTCAACATTTTGTGTAATTCCCTTTTTGCCTTTTTTTTTTTTTTTTTTTTTTTTTTTTTTTTTTTTTTTTTTTGTTTTGCAGACCGGTGAGAATATTAACACCCTTTTTGAAAAAATAGGTAAACACGTCATTTCACTTTTTCGAAATAAAGTGCTCACTGTAGCATTCGTTTGTGATTGTTATTTCGTGCTTGTCTTCCATTGTGCCTCTCATCTATTCAATGTCGTAACCCATGTTGCTGTCGCCCCTTTTATATACGCAGCAAGCCGCATTTATTTGAGATTCAAAGAAGTGTTATATTACGATGGCCCATAATGTAAGCCCCACACCCACAAACAGGTATGAAACAAGAAGGCCAGGCCAGACCAGACAAATTATACGCTTTTCTTTTTTGTTTTTTTTTTTTTTTTTTTGCCACCAATGTTTTGTCCTGCCCATTGATTCGTTCACCCTCTGTAAATTGTTTAAAATGTCAACATTTTGTGTAATTCCCTTTTTGCCTTTTTTTTTTTTTTTTTTTTGATGTCAATAAAAAAATGAGGATTCGATTGATATGATATATTTTTATACATGTGCAATATGTATTCGTGCATATGTTTTTATTCTTTTTAAAAAACTATAGAAATTATTCCCCGTCTTTATTAAATGTTAAAAAAAAAAAAAAAAAAAGTGTAGGAAATTATGTTCCGTTATTGTTGCACCACCTCATTGTGCGCCAAATTGAGGAGAACAAAAAAAAAGGGAGGGGCGCGCATAGGCTAGAAAAAATTGGGTAACACACTCTCAACTCTGTGCAGCATACATACGAACATTGAGCAGGGGGACGGCGAGAGATGGTAGTTGGGTGAGTGTAACGATTAGGCGCTTGTTTTAAGGAATGTACGTCTAATATATGTCCCCCATGCGTAGTCCAGCGTGGTGATAGAGGAGGTGCAATTTGGGTATAGTGCACGGGAGATTGTACCTTTTCCACGTGTACCCAACAGCGCAAGCGCGCCACTAAGTTATGCGTGAGGAATTTACCTCCTCGCTAAGCCCATGGGGAGATATCCACACCACTGAAGGGGGACGCATCAACAGCATAATTAAAATAGTATATAATACTCCCCTTGATGTAAGCCTATACGGTGGAAAGAAAAAAAAATAAAAACCAGCTGCTTACCATTTTAGGGCAGCCTTGTGCGTGGATGAGAGGTGCATATTATGATATACATTATGTATGTGGCAAACGTTCCCATGTAAAAAAAAAAAAAAAATTTAATACAACGCAGCGTGCACCAATATATATCCCAAACTGTCGCTTCAGATTGTTACCTTTTTCTTCTTTACCACTTATGCAACGCAAACAGGAAGGGTGAACATTGCACCCTATTTTGTTCCTCGCCGTGTACAATTTTTTTTTTTTTTTTTTTATCATCAGCGAACGGTTAAAATAGGAGCAAGGGCGAAAGGTTGAATGTTAGCTGATTTGAGGAAAACAAGAAAGAAAAAGTGCGCACATTACAGATGCACAGGAAAGGAGAAAAAATTACCAACGAGCATACCAAATAAAAGGGGCATTTATATTTGTACGCGTGGTGAATAAGCAGTTGTTAATGTGAAGTATCTATCGCTAGGGCTACCTCCTTAAATCCCGTTGCAACACCCTCCGCCTTCTTCAGTAGTAACATTCCCTAGCGCAAGATGAACATAGTGCGCGACATTGTGACGTTTATAAGCAGCTGCCTCCTGTTAATGGGGATAAGTGAAAGCAAAGTATCTGCCATTGAATTGAAGAACAATTACGTAGAAGGCTCCATTCATGCGACTCCGAATGTTTTGGCAGATTGTACTGTGTACCTTGATTCAGATATATATAAGAAGCCAAACAGAAATGGGAAATTTATTTTTACAAACGTAAAGGAAGGAACCTACAACATGTTTGTGAATCATCCATACCTTGAATTTAACAGGTACCAAGTAAATGTAAAAAGAAGCGTCACGCAAAACAATGACAAGGTATACGTTGTGCAAGCATATGAGCAGATATCTCCTTTTGAAAAAAGCAACCTGATGGTTACGAATATCGTTTTTGAGAGCAAGAATGTGTATGACTTTTTGATGCCCAAAAAGAATTTTTATTTATTTAATATGTTTAAGAGTCCTATTTTTTTAATTTTTCTCTTTTTCTTAATTTTGATGAGTGTGCTGCCACAAATGCAGAAAATGTCCGAGTCTGCCAGTGAGGAGTCCATCGGCCCGGCTATATATAAGTCGACCTTTGTCGAGGCCCTCAAGTGAGACCGCCCCCTTCTGCAGTGTGTACCGAGCATGTTACATTTGTCGCTTGGTTGCCTTTCATCCCGCGCGTTGCTCTCGCTCCTGCTTCTATTCCGCGTTCATTTTGTTTTCATTTATTTATTTATATATTTTTTTTTTTTGTGCTTAATTTGGTGGTAGAAAAAAAAACTAACGTTATACATTTATCCCTACATCTGGAACTTACTAAAACTGCTGACAAGATATCGTTTAACCGTTTGCGTTTCATTCTACTCGAAGAAGCACAAAAGTGAGAGGCAAGACAAAGCATTTTCAACAGTCCACTTAACCGTATTTGCAGTGCATCAAAAAAAAAAAAAAAAAAAAGGGCTCTAAGTAGCGTATAGCGGTGGACATCTGTTATAACTAATTTGTATTTTTTTTGAAAAAAGCGAAAAACTGGTTGACCCGTTCGCTTCATCCCACTTGTTCCACTTTTCAATTTGGCAATTTGAGGTGCAAATTTGGGTACCAACACCCGCTGGAAGGACTTTCCTACGTGGCAAATTCCTTTTTCTCCTCATGTCCGTACATATACAGAACACTTGTATATGTATATGACCACATGGAATGGTGGAACAACCCTAATTCGATAAACAAATATATTTTTGTCCCCCTGGGAAAAATAAATTTGATTGTTAAAAAAAGAGTAATAAATGAAATGGGAAAAAAAATGGACTTCAAAAAAAAAAAAAAAAAAAAAAACCCACGTGTGATAAAATTTTCAGAAAAATACACAAAATGTGGGTAATGCAGTTATGGGTGGTGGGGCACAATGGGCGTCGCCTATCTGATCACTGCATCACGCATATCATACGGTGACTTCATCAAGTACCACGGCGAATGCGCACGATTTGTACGGAGCCCCTCACGCTCCCACAGTTCATCCTTTTACGGAAAAAAAACGCAAAGTGAGGCGCAAAAAGTGAAGCACACACAAAAAAAAAAGGAATGCAACATGTGTGTGATTGATTTATGTTGCCGCTCCAGATTTTTGGAGCCGCCTTGTTTACTTCGACCATTTATGTTGATCTGCGTGACGTGTGGTTGATTTGTTTGTGTCCTTCTTTAAATGTGTCCCTGGACTTGATCAATTTTGTGAGATCACCACTTCTGTGACGGTTTTTTCTACCTAATGCGGCAGAAAAATTTACTGCTGTTTTTTTCTGTCACCAAGGTTTCTGCTCAGGTTGCTATACTTAAGAGGATGATTGTAAGGGGTGTGAACCTCCCTCACCGCGGATGTCAACCCCCCCCACCTACTAGCTCCCTTTGCGGGGATTAAATCCATTATACGGGACTTCGACTGCACAGTTTGCTTGCCTAGCAAATTGTCTACCTGGTTTTATTCTACATTTTTTTGGATGCATTTTTTTCCCGTTAGGGTTTAGGCGGGTGTTAGGATGGAATTGTCTGTGTGCGCGTGATCTTCATTCTTCCCCGTTTGCACTGCTGCTATCAGCTCTCTAGGATCTTTCTTTTGTTTGACCTCCGGTCCTTCGTCTAACATTGTGGCCAGCGTCATGCTGAGGCCGTCCCCCATGTTGTCTAATGTTGTGCTGTTCAAGCGGATATAAACTGCCGGAACTAATCCAAAGGGCAATTTCAAAAAGAGCGTACAAACTACATAATCAAAGACTCCTCTAAAAGCCTTTTTTGATACTGCAAAAACATTTACTACGGATTTGAAAAGGTAAAAGTAGCATGCATCATCTGCTTCGCTAAATGTCCAATCCAGTAGGTAGAATTTTGTTAAGAAATTTGCCACCTTTTGTCCCGCTTCTCTGTCTAAGTATGGACAGGCTAGAAGGCAGAGCCCGTTTTCCAGCAGATATTTGTTGATGTGTGTATTGTAAACGAGTATGAGGAAATTTGGGGTACAATGGAATCTGTTTTGGCGTGGGCTCTCCAGGTCTTCTCTCTCCAGCAGGTAATTTCCATCAAAAGGGATGTCGTAATGAAATGCGTTAAACCTGTGGGCTTTTGCCCATCGCAATGATGGGCTATCATCGTCATCCCCGTCATCTTCACTCTCATCTTCACGCGCATCTGCATGCTCATCTTCACGCTCATCTGCATGCTCATCTTCACGCTCATCTTCACGCTCATCTACATGCTTATCTTCGAGTACATCATTCACCACATTTTCATCCTTCTGTTCACCCATCCCACTTGGAGCGTCTTGACTGCTTTCCCCCTTAGCGGCACTCACCATTCCGTCACTACTATGGGCGATAAAAGTACGTCTTACATTATCGTTTCCCTCTAGGCTTGTTTCCCCGAGGGCAGGCTGCGCAGGGGCCTCCGCATCCACCTCATCAACCTCATCCAACTCATCAGACTCATCAGGCTCATCATCAAAAGACACGTCCGCATCGATCAAATCCCAGATGGTTTTGTTCGGAAATTTGCATTTAAGATTATTAATATTTTCGAAGACAGTTGGTGCTTTTTGCTGCAAACTGTTAAGTACCACATTCAGTTGCGCATAATTTATGTTGACGAAGAGGGCACCAGGCATGACAAAATATATAGATGCCTCAATATAAACCTTCAATTCATTCTTGTCTGGGATTATTCTAACATATTTTTCATACATATAATTAGCAGACGATTTGAAAGCTAGCCAAAATTTTTTGGCAAAGTGTTCATTTCTAAAATAAAGTGATGCAATAGAACCCACAGTACAAGGATTAGTTCTGCATAGTTCACTGAGGTTACATTGCAAATGGGTGTGATCGATCAGGTTTATACTTGCATTATGTTTTGCTCCAAAAAGTAAAGCAAATTTGATAATACCCAAACGGTATGCAAATAATTCGTACTTGTTCGGATGGTCCTCCACAGCTGAATATATATACAGAGCTTGATGAATATAATCAGACTCCATAAGATCCATTACATCCACTATAGGATCGCTATTTCTGTTCCGGTAGTATATGTCAATTAGGCTATGAAGGAGGTGTTCTTCCTTTTGCTCTAATGGTAATCCGATCACTAGTAATATGCAGCAGCCTGGTACCCACTTGTCGTAGTCATGGGTTTTATTTTTAAAAATTAAATTATCGATTACTTCTAGGGGAAATTTCCAGCGGCCTTGCTTACAGTGTTCATCTACTTGGGGTATCATCTCCTTTCGGCCTCCCTTTACGCACTCCTCTTTCATACTCATTCCGGCTTGGGAAATACATGGAGACAACAAATTGTTGTCTGCATCCTCCGGGGACGACAACTGCACCATAGCGAGAGAATCCGAAACCCTTACATTTGTGTTTAGTTTGTTCGTGAGGGTTACTAGATCTCCCTGCCCCTTTTGGTTGTTTGCATTCTTTACTTTCACTGTTCCGTAGCACTTTGTAATTTCTTTCATCAATAGCTTTTCCTTCTGTTGCGCTGGTGCCTGTTGCACTTCCTTGTGCTTTTCTGCTTTTCCCTCCTCCTTAGTAACGCGGTTGCCCGGTCTTCCTACCATCTTTTTGTCCGTCCCTTTTGCTTTCTCTTCATCTATGGCCATGTCTTTTTCATTGAATAAAAATCTTAAAGACGAATCTGAATCAATGATACGATCTTTCTTCTTCCTTCTGCTTTCACTCTTCATCTTCGCATCCTCCTTGGGATTACCTTTCTCTCGTTCACCTTTACTAACGGACTGCTTCTCCCTATTGGCCTTCTGTCCCTGGTTAACCTTGCCGTTTTCTCTTTTACGCATTGAGGGGCCTTCACCATTAGATGGGTATTCGCCATCCCTATTGTCTAATGGAAACAATACATTTTCAGCTTCTTTCTTTTCTGACTGTGCATTTAATTTCTTTCTTTTTCCCTTCTTCATGGTATTCACTTCTGGGGAGCTAATTTTATAAGTCTTATCATGCTGTTCATGCTTGATCTTCGAATCATAATCATGTTCACTGCTGGAACATTTTTTTCTTTTTAAACTAGTTGGATCCTTTTTTTGGCTTTCTTTATTTTCACTTGAATCTTTCTTCTGCTTTTTTCCCTTCATGTTGCTTCGGTGATTTTTTTTTTTTTTTTTTTTGTAAATGTTTATATGTTTAAAGGCTACTGTGACGGGTGACTTCAGTGTGTACTTAAATAGAAAGAGATACTTCAATTTCGTCGTCAAAAAAAAAGAAAAGAAAAAAAAAGGTCCTTCTTTTCCCTTTCACACTCTACTTGGTAGATCGCCAAAGGGTCCCAACGGGATAGTACTTGTCAGTACCAGTGAGTTTTCCCAATTTGGGTGTCCGTTAAAGGCCTGGGTTTTTATTGTACTGCTATTGTGATCAACTGCTCCACATTACAAAAAGCACCTTCGGGAAAAATATGTATCAATAGGAATAAACTACACGTTGCTTCTCTTGCTGAAGTGTCCTGCGTGTCACTCCGTCCAAACGGTAACAGCTTATATGCAAGTGTGTATGTTCGTGAATATTGTTCACTAATGTAGAAGCGAAAGAAAAACTAAACGCACATTTGTGTTACGACTTCGTAGTTATAACTGCACATATTTGGTAATCAAAGATAATTTAAAAGAGAGTGTGGGTGGCAGAACAACACACGCACAGAATACTCTGTGTGCATGGTTACAAAGCCGGTTGCACATAATGCAGGAAAACAATTAGTTAAAGTGTACATAGGTTTGCATAACTGCACATATGTACGTGCATACACACAGATGGATATATACATATACATATATATTTATATATACAGATTTGCCTGTGTACTCCTCTTCCTATTATGCATATCTGAACTTTTGTTTAACACGCATGGTAGATGTGCCTGGACAATTATGACCACAATATCAACTCACATGTGTAGTGATAACCCTTGCGGGGGATTTATTCGTGAAAAAAAAAAAAAAAAAAAAAAAAAAGAGAGAAATACATCTGTATGCAAAAATGAAATGTTGAAATATTAGCATATATATCGATAAAATTGTCACAAGAAAATATGTTACATGCATAAGATTCTACTTTTAAAAATAAGGAGAAAAAAACTCATAACCTTTTTTTTTTTTTTTGAAAAGATTAACACTTCATAAAATTTGTTCCGCCTTGTTATGTGTTAAGAGGGAAAAAAAATATCTGCTTCGAGGAAAAATGGAAAAATGTGTACAGAGTTCAAAAAAAAAAAATAATATAATAATGCGTATTTTTTTGTAGGAATTTTACCTCATAATTGGACCCGTGAAAATAGCTACCATGAGGCATAGAAGGGCCATTAAAATGAATACAACATCAGAGCAATAACGAGAAAGAATATGCACAGACTCTATTCCATCCATTTTTCTTCTTCTTTCTTCCTACAAAAAAAACGTACTTTTTTTATAGAAAAAAAAATCTTAATATATAAGTATTGGGGTACAGGTTTATATGCAAAAAATGTGCCCGCTGATAAAGAAAATAAAATGCGTACGCAAAGTTCATCTCGCAGGAGGTAGCCACAACCAACGTGTGGCAGCACTAGAAACAAAAAAAATACAATAAAACTAAAATATGCGTACAGGACCAAATATAAAATATAACAGTTATATATGCAAGAACAAAAAAGAGTGAAGTAAAAAGTTTTCGTAATATATATCAAGTATCATAATTTTTTTCTTGTTTTTTTTTTTTTTTTTCTTTTCATTTTTACGCTTTTTTACCTTGTACTTTTTTTGTTTTTTTTCTTTTTTTTCTTTTTTTTTTTACCTTTTGATTTGTACGCTTTCGCATTTTTACATGTACCTATTTTTGCTTCCTTTTTTTTTTTTTTTGTTTTCTTTTCGCGTACCTTGCTGCGGCTTCCATTTTTCAGCTTAACAGTTGGTACAATTGCTACCTGTAAACAGGTGGCACTACGTAGTGGCTACATTATGTTGCATCTGTTTGTTAGTTTTTATAAACCTGGCAGTATGTGCCCGTTCTGCTTGAATGTCCCTCTGCGCGGTGTCCCTTAGAAGTTCAGGGTAGCCGCACGCATGTTAGTAGAGGAAGATAAGAATAAAGCAAACGGGGTTGCATACACGTTTGTAAAGTCCGACGCCAGTACATGTCCCTATCTGCACAGGCGAGTAGTTGGGGACAAAAACGGACTTCAGTAAAGAACTCGGCACAACGGTTTCTCTAATATATAATTACACACATTGAGGGAGGAGATATATACATTGATGGTTGCGTCCCTACTTGTGCTCTTCCTCGTCCGTTAAGCCATTTTATGTTGTATGCCTTTCCCCTATCCCATAAGTTCTTTTAATGAACACAATCTGGTTGCTGCATAGTAGTATAGAGTTTTATACTCCACTGGTTTGAGAAAATATTGAGGAAGATATAGTAGCACAAGTGTGTGCGTTTTTTTTTTAGGGGGCAACTGGACAGGTAACTTTTTTTTTTTTTTTTTCTTAAAATATAATGAACGACCGCATAAGCAGAGATCTGACGAAGAGCTTTCTTGAGAAGAGGGCGATGGCAAAGGACGAAGTAGATCCCCGGAAAAATTGGCTAAAGAGAATTATAATGAATAACAATTCCTACGATTTGAAAATGTTTTTAAAAGCAGCGGAATTAAAAACAAAGGATGGGGATTATTGTAACAGTTGTAAAACTAGCGTGAAACAAATTTATTACATAAACACCAGCAAAGTTTTCTGTGAAGTGTGCGAAGAGATATTCTGTAACTACTGTGTAAAAAGCATAGACGTGATGAAGGACAGTCAGCTAAAATATATAAGAGTGAGACTATGTAAGAACTGCTTCATATATATAAATGAATTAAAATATATTATACAGCCAAATTTGTCCATAGATAAAAAAGCCATTGATTTGGTGAATGCCTTTAACGAAATTTCAAGTCGGTACACCACCATGTGTAGCAACGTGTCGCAGCTGAATGGGTTAATTATGCTTTGTGAAAATAATACAGAATATTTAGATAATTTTAAAACTGAAATTAAGCAGCTAATGGGTGTTATTCAGCGCGATGTGAATTTCCTCGATGACATGAAAAAGAAAAATAATTTTGCCGCGGACAATACGCTTATTCTCAACAAAATGGGCAAAAATTTAATACTGTACTTGAAAATTATTAGGAATAAAATAATTCCCAGCGCTGTGGATGTGATGAACAAAACCAAGGAGTTGCTCTATAAAAAGAAGTAGTGTTCCTGTCCACGGCAGCTTTTGGAATGTATCCTTGGAACGTACATATGACTTACATGCTGGGGTATTCCTATTGTGTTATGGGGCTGTATCATAAGAGAAATGCTCTCCCGTCGCGTCTGTACCTTCGGAGCCTGATTACGGCTGCGCTCGTCGGGCAACTGTTTGAATTTGCCGAAGATCCTTCGGCCCGTACTACTCCCCTTCATTAACCCCCCTTTCGCACTGTTTTTTTCAGTTATTTTTGTTTGTTGTATTAGCATCTCTCTTTGATTGCTATTGGTGCGATCCCTTTTGCGAATTTGCAGCGGCCAACTTTGATATATATTTTCCCTCCGCGGCCCGTCAATTCGCGCAATGTTGATAAACCCTTTCATGAGTTTTTGTTTAATATCCGAGTTGTCTGACTTTTCGTAACTTTACGTCCATTTTTCCTTTTTTAGTCTTCAGCGCAACGATGTTTCCGTGTTGTACCTGTTTGATCATTTGTGATTATTACTCCATTTTTGTGTCCCCAATTTGAGTGCTCATTTTGCCTTTTTCCCAAAGTGCATATTTTTTTTTATTTAGCCTTTAATGAATGCGCTGCTGAGAAAAAGAACAACCATAAGAGATTAAAAAAAAAATCATCTTGTTTTTGTTTAACTGGGAACATTTTTTCAAATTATTAAATGCCCGATCCGCTTAATGTTATGTAATCTCATGCCACACTCTAAAAAAGAGAACAAAAACACGTTATATGCCCCGGTTGGAGGGAACCAAAAAATATGGCGCGGGGGGGAAAAATTCCACTTTTAAGGCAAGATAACAAACCATTTAGCAGTTTATTCTTGACCATCGTCTTTCCCTAGTTGATTATGAAAAAATAATGGTGACATCAATATTGGGCAGTTGTTCCTTAAATTTTGAACACATAATAGATGCTCTACTGGAGGGGAGACGCAACTTACACATGTGTAGCAGAAAATTGAGATTGGCCCTTCGTAGCAACACCGTTGGAGAGGATTTTCTGGTGTGTATGGAAGCCCCACGGGGCGATCACTTGCATCTTTCAACTTTATGTGTAGACCATGCGTACTTATAACGTGAACACACATTTACATGTTAAAAAAAAGAGAATTTTGTCAAACCTCTGTTTAGAAGGAAGGGCATTTCAAAATTTTGTAAATAATACACGTAATAACAAACCCAAAATGTTTGTTTTTTTATCGTTCTTTTTAATTGCTGTGTTGTTGTCGGTAGTTTTACTTATATGTAATATACGTGTGTACACACGTTCCCATGCAACTACTCTTGTGCCCCTAGAACAATAGCTATCTTGCAGTAAAGCACAACAGGAGGCATCGTGATACCATGGGGGTAGTCCAGTCGATGAAGCGTGTGTAGCCCCATGAACGTACACATATGTGTGTTTTTTCACTTTTGCATACACCTGCTCAGGATGGCAAACGTTAAAAACAGCTAACTGGCTAGCTATTTATAAATTAAAAACGAAAAAAAAAAAATACCAGCTAGCGAAAAAATCATCACACGCTGTTCATAAATTTTATATGATTTACATGATGTCTGAAAATGAAATAAAAGATAAAAAACAAAACCGAAAAAATTAATATGCCAAAGAGAACGAAAACCAAGACAGCGCCATTGTTTTCATTGTGGTCGTGAATATTGTGTATGTATCTGTAAATTGGGGGTCCTGGACCGGCGCTCGCTGTATTTTTCATTAATTTCGTTTGTGATAATATGTTAAAAAGCGTTGATGAATTTAGTTCTATGTTTGACACGCTGCTTTTGTCTCGCATAATTTCAAAGTTGAGTACGTTCTTCCTGTTCTGTCGATCTTCATTATTTCGGTTCCCTGGGAAAGTGAAAATAGAGCAATCGTTTGGGAATGCTTAATGAGTAATCCATGGTTTCATGACAAAAAAAAAAAAAAAAAAAAAAAAAAATTGAAAAACGGGCACGGGGGGTGTGTTACACGATGGGGATGTGCCACTCGGGGTAAAGCACAACACTTCGCGTGGGCACATGTACATTTGGCAGGGTAGTCGTACCTCCTTTCAAGCTCCTCCTTAAATCTTTTTTTCGTAACGCCTTGACCGATAAACGCCCAGCGGACAAAATGAGCAAACAGAGTAGCACCAGATATTTTTTCATTTGTACTTTGCGACGTTTTTCATGTTATATACTTCCTCGTATATTTTACAGTATGCACGCTGGGATGCATATATAGACGTACATGAACATATATATCTACGCACGCCAGTGTGCTTCTCCTTTTCCTTTGTCTTAACTCGTTCGTGTGTAACACATGTACCCGCGCGGTCGTGGGTCCTGAATCAATCTGTTCTACATGCGCATTTGCAAGCGTTACACGAATGCACACGCGGAGAAGTGAGTTTTTGCGGCATTTCGTGAATGACGCCGCTTGAGATGCAATTGGTCTTTTTTTTTTTTTTTTTTTTTTTTCACCTTTGTCAGGCAATTTTTTTGCATTGACTTTTATTGTGCATTTATACTTGTTTTATTTTGCGTTTCTACATTTTACAACGTTTTCATTTTTCCTTCTATGTCAGTTTGCGTGAACGCACATGACGCAATTGCATCGTTTTGTCCCCTTTCCGCCTGCACCGTTTAGCAGTGAAATGGAGGCACGCGCGAATGTCTATAATGTTAAAAAAAAAATTGCAACATATGATACAATATGGCACAGTACCTTACACATGGCTAGGCAGAACAAATATTGGGTATGGGGGGGATTCGTTCACCTCTTCCGGCCCCGCTTTGTTAAGGTATACATATTCGCGAAAAGAAATAAACTAGGCGCGGTTGCACCATGTGGTAGGACAAATATTGCTATAAAAGAGGTGATAAACTGTTACATGCGATATATGTACGTTTATGTACTCTACTCTTTCCTGAGGGAGGCCAAAATTGGGGAAGTAGACGGCTCCAGAGACATGCGGCTCTCCATGTAGAACTTCCGCTAAAAATTTCATATCGACCTTCCGGGTTGGGTATTGTTGCACACTCCCCTGATGCGACATTTCAAAGGAGAAGCCGAGTGCGTGTGTGTGACTCTCTAGAAAGTAGCAAATATGCGGAAGCCTTTCGAATATTTTTCATATTCCAGGGGGTCCTCTGAAAATATACGAATAAGCTGATAATATTCTGTGGCAGAAATTGTAGTATATATACAGCGAAGAATAAGTTTCATGAGCATCAAAATGTCTGAGCTGGCCCTATCTACGTGTTTAGTTTGAAAATAAAACTTTTTTACAAAATAAGTGACACTGGTGGAGATGTCTTCTTCAGCACTGTTCTTTACAGGGGTGTCCAGTTGGATGTTTTGTTCCTTTCTTACATCAGTTACGTCCGATTTGTTGAAAATATTGAAGAGTAGATGTAATCTGTACACAATATCGTGGCAGTATATTTTAACATCCTCCGAATTTATTTGGAATAGTAAGAAAAGACACCTCAACGCATCTGCCACCACGTCGACATCGTTAGTCTCCATGAGATAAAAAAGTACGTTCATATATTTATGTAATAGAAATGGGAATAATAATGGGTGGTAATAAAAGCACGTAATGATATTTTTACAAACTATTACACATATATCTTTATTGTAACTTTTGAAGCTACAGATATTTATTAGCTTTTGCAATGATTTTATCAAGTCGATGTTTATCTTTTTGTCCATTTTGCATTTCAGATGAACGTAGTTTTGTACAACTTGATTCTTCCAGCAGTAGCATCCCTTATCCGTGTGATCATAATCGTTTTCCCCTCCATCAATAAGGGCAAATAATTTCTCTATTTTTCTATTCATATATTCTATATACAAATCGCTTACCTTGCTGATGTTTGGTGTAAGACGAGATAAAACTGACAGGCACTTGGACTGCACATCATCGGAAGGACAGCTGATCAATTTGAGGCAGATAAAAATGAAGTCGTTAAAAAAAGTTTCAAACCTTTCACTGTTTTGGGGGGGAATGAACGGGAGGCGTCCTCTGATAACATCCTGGCTCAGTTCCTTAAGCGAAATTTCAAATATGTCTGATCTTCCACATTTATTACATTTCTTTGTAGTTTCTCCATTTTTTGCGTCCATCTCAGGAGGCACATAAATTTTGTTCTTTCCAATCAGGTTTGCCTCTTCAACTATGGAGGAAGAATCTCGCGTTTCATATGACAAAGAGTTGTCTTGTTCACTTTTCGCATTGGGATCCTTTTCAGAATCCTGTTTGTTCTTTTCCTGGTCATATGACTCCTCCATTTTCAGGTAAAATTCGGTTAGTGCGGATACAATGTTAAGTACGAGTAGGGCAATAAAATTGGAGAACACATCCATGTACTTAAAACTCAACGTTTTGCACTCGTATGTGCTTTTAAAAACGGAGGAGTTATATGTAAAAAAATTATTTTTTTTGAATAAATATTGGTCTAGGTAATTCCCCCTTTTGTAAAGACTACACCATGCATCATCCTTGAAGATGAAGCAATTTGCTAAGTTTAGAAAATTCCATTCTTCCACATCATCTGCTTCGATGTATCCCCAAATGATAAGGATTTTCAATTTGAGCATCATTTTGTCCCTACTCTTGAAGATAGCATCCGGGAGAGTTGTCTTTTCCTGTTCGTGCAGGTCCCGTAATTCTGTGCGCGGTTCTTTGTTGTGAGGGGCCCCGTTTGTGATGTCCCTCCCCGGATGTGGCAATATTTTCCTAAGTTTGGTAGCACCCCTGGTTTCATTTCCACCAGATGGATCTGTCAACGTGGTTCCCTCCCCCGGTGCATCTGCTTCCCGCTTGTCTATTTCTCTCTTTTGCATGTGTTCTACCTCCTCCTTCTCTCTAATGTGGCGCATTCTTGTGGGAGTCCATCCGGATGGGGAGTAATAATTTCTTTCCAGAATGCCACGGCAGTTGCTTATTGTGCTGGACATTAGCTGGTCAATTTGTTTTCCCCATTTATGCTTTCCCATCTTATGAAGTGCTTGGAGAAAAAAGTGGATGAAAAACATTGTGTCAAAAGCTTCCTTTGGGTAGGGATAACTTTGTGAGGTGTCTATAATGTATAAGTGCCTGAAGGAGTAGCACTGTATTTGTGATTCTTTCGGAATGGGGATTATACCTCGTGACGTTCCCTCCGCTTCTTCTGCAACTTTTCCTTTTTTCTTTTTTTTCGATACCCAGGAGATGAAGTTGGGGGACATAATTCTCAGCAGCAGGAGGACATTATTTACGTTTACATTTTCTGGGGAGTAATTCTGGCCAAATTCTATTTCATTAATTGGATACTTATTGGTGTCAAATGTGGAACAAATATTTCGATACATTAATTTGAATGTCCTTCCTTTCTTGTAGATAATTTTTGTGCCGGTATTGTTCACTGTGTCTGATATATGGTGAATACGGACTGCACAGACCTGTCCTGGTGGGAGGTTCTCATCAAAGGGGGCCTCGCCATGAACAGTTTTTCCACTATTGAGGGGAATGGCGAGCTTCTTGAACAGTTGACTAATTTTTGTCAACGTGTCAATAATTAATTCATCCTCCTCCTGCTCCTTCTTCTTTCCCATTGCACTGTTCCCATCGCAATTAACATTCGAGCACAAATAAATTAGTAAGCAATGTAGAAAAATAAAATCAGGTAAGTAGATGAAGAAATAAAGATTGTGCAGACAATTTGAAAGGCTATACGAATATGCATTTTTATGGCGAGCGGTGTTCTGCTTTTTCACATGTATATTTCGAATAAGGGAGAGTACAGACTTTTCCATGGAGGGGGCAAAATCATGGTTGGAAAAAATAAAAACTCTCAGTGATACGGTTGAATAAATTTCAAATATTTTCTTATTCGTTTCTACGTCTAGTTTTTCATAATGAAGAATAATTTTGTGCAAAACTGAGACATACTTTTTTGTGCAAGACAGTAATTCTTCGTTTTTTGTGCTGCTAATTTTTTCATCTAATTCGTCCATGACGTTCATATTCAAATTTGGCTTTTCCCCATTTTTGCATTTTTCTAACATTTGTAAATTTATGTAAAGGTTGTGGTCGCATATCCATTTGGCAACTCTTTCAACTTGGGCCTCATCTTGCTCTATGCCTTTCCGTATTTCTTCCAAATTCAAGTCCTTGAACAGTGCCTCCATTTGGGGTTCATTGCCGGGTTCGGCGCGTGGCTTGGGGACAACCAGGAGCTCCTCTCACGGGAGGTTATTTCTTTGGAGGTTATTGCTGTGCACAGTGTTCGTGTCACGCTTGCATGCGGACGGGCAACTGTGTTCGCCAGTGTGCCCTGATCAGAGGGGGGACGCGGTACAGACGTGGCGCTTCCACTGGGAATTCTCCCTCCTCCCTTTGTGTCGATGTTGAGAAAAAGAATCTTAACGCTAATACCCACTTTTTGAGAAGCCTTTGTCTCGCAAAGTTACCCTGTGGCCTTGTTACGTTGCGTGCCTTGGTTCACGTGGGGAACGCAATATAGTGGTATTATAAAGCGGTGTAAAAAGAGCGCTATAAAAGCGGTGTAAATGGAAAATGCAAGCAAGAACAAAATGAAACGAAATAAAAACAAAATACTGAGAAATGAAACAAAACAAAAAAAGAAAATAAAGAATACTAATAATAATAATATTGCAAAACAAAACAAAAACACAAGTGGAAATGCCTTTTCCGTGGACACTTGCATTTTCATGTGTGCCTACGCGGCAACGAATTTAGGTGGTGATGGAGGGGTCAAGAGCACTTGAACATGAAACGGTGTGTAGTGCAACCCCCCGTACTATTACCCCGGTGCAAGAACGGATGTGCATGTAGAGCGGGAGGGGGAACACAAGGAGGGACTCCTTTTTTCAAGAGCTTTTGAACATCACGCGCTTCCTGAAATAAACCCTTTATGTGCAAAAACCCTTTTTGTGGAAACCACCTCTTTTTGCGAAATTTATACATTTGTCGTATGACAATCAAAAAGGTGCAATAAAAACGACGGGTGTGCATACTCCCGCCACTGCACAGGGGAACCCCCAGTAATGCAAGCAGACGTTGCCACTTCAGACACTTAAGTTGCTGGGGGGTAATATAAGAAGGAGAACAAAAAGAAGAAGAAAAGATGAAGCACCGTGGCAAATAATATATACCGTGGAAAATTTTCCGTTGTTTCAGTGTGGGCAGAGAATTTTCATATTGATAGCTGCACCTATCGTAGACGTAAAAATAAGCGCAACATACAGAAGACGTTTCACATTTGTGCGAATGTAAAACTTGCGAGTTGGGAATAAAAACAAAAAAAATGCTACTACAGCCCGTAGAGTCCATGTACTTAGGCGCACATGGGAGGTTATTATGAAAAAAAAAAAAAAAAAAATGACTGCTGCTACCTCCGAGTGGGTCCGCTTGGAATGGGAAGGACCCTATGTGGCACAATTCGGCAACCAAGCGGCTGCGCAAACAGCAGTTCGCGCACATCAGTGTGTATAAGCACACATCCACATGGTACACTGGCATATAATCGGGAGTGCATATCGAAGACTTGTGGCTTAGTGCTCACCAAATGCGTGGTTAAGACAAGCTGCTCCTAATCTTCTCAATTTTGTACTTGGCAGAAAAGTCAAAGACTTGGTTGCCGATTTGCAGGACAAGCCCACCCAAAATGCTTTTGTCTACCTTGTACTCTATAAGAGGTTTTAGTTCATTTTTTAATTTAAAAAGTATGGACTCTTGAATTTTCTGTTTCTCTGCGTTACTGATTTCTTTGGCCGTGTATACAAAACACTTAATTTCTTTCCTCTCCTTCATTAGTAGCAATTCGAATTCTTCGATTATCTTTTGCAAAAAATTTATCCTTTTGGAATCGAATAAAGACTCCAGGAAATTGGATGTTATAGGGTTAAAATCATTGTTATACTTTTTACACTCTGTTTTTAAAAAATTAATTTTTTCTTTATTTTCAATATTTGGAGTTTGCAAGAAATTAAGAAAAGTTTTCTCCTTGAGGAAATTGTTTTTTATAAATAATATGTCACTTGATATTTCGTTTATTTTTTTGTTCTTCTTTCCTACATTGTACAAAGCTAGGCTGTATCTCTTTTCGATGTTATCCCCCATGGACAGGTAATACTCATCTTCCGCTTTCTTTCCTTCCGCTGTGCTGCTGTAGGGCCTTATCATGTTGACCAAGCCATTGGTCGTGATGCCCCTTCTGCGAGATGGAAAGGAACACAGGTTCCTCTTTTCGACCTGGCATCTCCACCTGGTACGAATGGCTAAATGGGTTATCGAGCGCCGCACGGTGAAGCCTTTCATGGTGTGGAGCAGGCGCAGTAGATATAAGGGTTCCCCGCTGGGTACAAAATGGTACAAAAAAATGGTACAGAAATGGAAAAAAAAAAAAAAAAAAGGGGGGGACCTAATCAATTATCCCCATGTGAACAGGTACATAAAACTTTCGACGTAAACACATCCCTAAACGAAATGATCTTCTCTTAGGCTACTCCAATTGGTCGTATGGCACATTTACACTTAGTGCTAGCACACGTAGTCACTGATATTCAGGTGCAATGTAACAATTGCGAGGTAACCAGCAGGGAGGGAGGGAAAAAAAAAAAATACAAACGAGAACAAATGGGCGCATACGATAGGGAAAGATTTCGTAATACTCATAAAATCCTCTTGCCAAAAAAGGAGCAAGTAAATGTAGCTAAATGCACATATGGGCATAAGCCCACGTTTTTTTTTTTTTTTTTTTTTTTTTGTTGCGCATTTACACCGGATGAATTTGCAAAAAGGCGGCACTATGCATTCCTCCATTTTTGACGAAAAAAAAAAAAAAACACACAGCGGGAGCAACACTTTTTAAAATTGTTTTATGGAGCAAGTCAATTGGGGTTATTTTTTAACGATAGTTCGAATCCCATGCTGACTCCACATCTTTACACTTCCTTCTACAAAAGGTTCGTAAAATTATGTGCATGTATATATAAGGGCCAACGCTGGACGGAGTGTTAATGTTGTGAACAGAGAAGGTGTGCGGATATGCGGTTATGTTGTCCCCCTTAACTGTGGATGACATTAAAAGGTTGTAAAAGAAAAATAGAAAATAAAAAAAAAAAAAAAAAGCAGCAGATGGAGCAGTAAAAAAAGGAATTAATCACACGTATGGGGGATAAAATACCAAGTGTTAAGAAAAAAAATAACAAGTTGGGAATTCTTTCTATGTATAAATTTACAAAAACGTGGAATGTCCGTTTTAGCCAAACGAAAATGGGGACTCCATTATGCAAACAAATTACACGCCTTGCACACATGTAACTGCGGCCTGGGGTGTGTATCAGAAATGGGGGTGATTCACATGGACAAATCGCAGTAAGCGCTTTATTACTGCTGCGTCCAAGCAATGTTGTGGGATCAGTTCATCCCCATTCAAATAATCAAAAATTTCTTTTTCGGGGAGACTCAGAAAATTATCTAGAGCGCATATATCTTCACTTGTAAAAGTATTTTTTTCGTGGCTCACAAAGGTCGATAGGATGTTTTGTAACTCTATGTACCCCAAGGTAGTACATTTAAATAGGACTTTTTCAAAACTTGGTTTTTCTCCATTTGTCATTTTAACCTTATCATCTACTCCAAATTTATTGTTCCTATAAATACGTCTTTTTCTTGTGGGGTAATCAACTATGTCGTTATAGAAAACTGCTTCCTCGTCTGCCTTCCGCTTAACTTCGTTGCCCCCCTTGGTTACTACTTCTTCTGAGCATGGCTTGGTTGTAAGTAGTTTGAATAATTTTTTCCTAAAATAGAGGTTTCTCGTTATGCGCTTAAACTTCGATGGCTTGTACAGCTGGAGTGTTGTGAATAAACGGGCGGAAGGCAGGCTGGGGTGCGGAACAATCCGGGGGTTCTTCAGTAAGTTAAAAAGCGTCATCTCATGCGCGTTTAATCGTGCAATTCGTGCTTAATCGAACACTTCGCGCCTAATCACAGTGTACCCATTTGGCTTCCCTTCACCTTTATACATTTTTTCCTATGCAGGTGAGCCTCTCCTTTCCGTATCTCTGGATGAAGTCTACATGGGGTGCTGCAACAAAACTTATCTAAAGTATTGTGCGCTCTGATTTTTTTTTTTTTTTTTCAAAATGTTACCGCATGGGGGAAAATATGAAAAAAAAAAAAAATCCTTCTATGTTCATGAAGTGCACACATATTTAATTCTCACCCCAGTTGCGGGAAAGGGCCCTTTTTTGCGGATGTCGCCACCCCGCATGACATTTCAAAAGAATATCTCTTGTACTCCCCTTCCAATTACCCACAAAAGATGCATTCCTAAGGGGCCATTTTTTCAACACCAAGGAATGGCCAAGCAAAATTGCCTTATTGTTAGGAGCCTTTTTTTCTGTATACCCTAGATATGCCAATCTACCAAAGGGGCTAAAATGTGCGCGGTTGGAGTGGTGTATGGATTATTTGCCGTATCGCCTGTACGCAGCTCCCTTGTGGGATATTTTCACCACGTTATGAGATAACATACGGTTATCCTTTTCTCTCCTTTTTTTTTCCCCACTAATTCCCCTTAATGAATAAGCTACTAAGTAGACCTTTTAGAAACGCTAGGAGGATTCACACATCAGCTCTTCGCAGGGACTCAGACGATACAGGTGTGGAGGCAGACGACTAATTAGAGCAAGTGGGCAACTACAAAGAGGAAGTAGCCACACAATGTGTACTTAACCTTACTGTATACACTTCTGTACCCCCTTTGCTGCTGACTTTTTGTTTTATGAGGATTGTGTGTTTTTTTGCCCCCATCCCACTATTTGTAGGCCCGCTAATCAAAAAGAAGAGGAGATTCTTCGACCTAAAATTGTTCAGGCAGCATTTGCGAAGACAAAAAACAGAAGAAATTGAAAATGAAAAAAGAGAAATTTTGAAGAGTTGTGCAAAGGATCCTCCAGAAAATTGGAATGTTAGAAAGTTCCTCACCAAAATAGAGATAGGCGAAAATATTGATGAAATAGAAAGCGCCTTTAAAAGTTGGGCTGATTTCATCACCATAACTCCAAAGGAGTTGTATGCAATGGAATGCTTAACAAATGAACAGAGAAGAAAAATATGGAAATATGTGAATCAATTTAACCATGGATTATATCCTGAAGACTCTTATGATGATTTTGTTCGGAATTTTCAAGCCCCTCCACTTGAAAATGAAAATAAACCATGGACAAAGGAAGATGAAGACCAATTTGCATATTACTTAAATTATTTCGATGTAGATTTTGGGGATCCATGGTTATACATTTCTTGGAAAATGAAAAGAACTTTTGATGATGTTCAAAATAAGTACATTGAATTATATTTGAAAAAAAAAAATAAAAATAGGAAATGTGAAATTTGTCTTACCAAATCAACCACCCCTTTGTTAATGAATAGAAAATTTAAATTGGATCCCCCCTTCCTTTTTTTTATTCCTTCTTCTGTTAATTTTCCTCCAATGACCATATATGATTACTGTAAGAAAAAGGAATCGTTGTCTGTAAGTAATGAGAGCCAAAACGCGGGTGATGAAACTGCTCTGCGGAGTGGTTCCTCCCACCAGCGTCCAATCCAAGATGCCTTGTATCCGTCCTATGCGTCCCTTATTTTTTCCCCAAACTTTTTGCGGTACGTGGATAAGGCTTGTTTTTAGGGTTCCCCAATTTTAGCCTACCTGGCAGGTTTAGAAACAGCGGCATTTTTACACCGCACCCACATTTGTACATCACGCCAAGTAAGGCGTCCTCAATTGGCACATCATTTGATTTAACCCTACGTTATGGTCTTTTGTAGCATTGCAAATATTTGCTGTGCTTATGTCTACATTCCACATTTGTGAACAAAATGACGAACTTTTTTTTTTTGTTTTCGTGTGTTGTGCCGCGTGGAGGGAGTGCACGCAGTGCCTGACCCTAGGTTGGCACAACGGAACGGTTTAAAAAGAGTCATAAAAGGGGGTTATAAGAAAAAGCACGAACGGTAAAAAAAACAAAGGCGTAAAACGCATGAAGTGCACGACATGAAAGAAAAAAAATTTGCTTCTCATCGGCAATTGCGCCCACCCACTACTCCTTCGATATAGCCCAGCTGTCCACCAGGTCGCCCTCGCTCTGCGAGATAAAGTGCTGCGAAATGGAGCTGATCGAAATGGAGCCACAGAGGAAGCACTCCTCCGTTAGGATGTCATCGATCTTCGTCTCATACGTGAGCATGTCCTTCTCATTCTTGTTGATAAGCGCATTTTTGTAATTATGAAGAGTACAGAAAAATTGGAAGAGTTCGTCTTTCGGCTTGGAGTTCAGGTAAATATTCAAAGCACAAGTGCTGTGGAAATAATGCTTGCACGAAAAAACATAAAACTTTTTATAAAAAATTGTCTTCTTGCATATATAGCAAATGTCATTTTTGTCCAAAAGGAGATATTTTTTCCTGACGTTGTTAAGGTCCCCATTGAGCAGATCAATGGTTTGTAAGTTTTCTTTAATTTCTTCTTTTTTGGCCTGTATTTTTAAATTGTAAATTCCTAGCAGGGAACAAATGTCCTTCTTTAAGTAATCGATAATTGTGTTTTCATTAATGTACGGAAGTATATCCTGTAAATTTAAAATCGAGTTTGAATCCCGGACAAGGTTAATTATTTCTTTTAAGTTTTGTTCATTTAAATTGTTGGAGATGTTTTTAATAATTTTTAGAAATAATTTTTTTTTTTCTTCTTCATCTTCGCATAATATTACGGCATTTTGTGCAGTTTTGTAATCCCCCAGTTCGAGGGCTTTATCGACCGCTTCTTCGAAATATTTCATAATTATATAAAAATGGGGAATGAAATTTTCTTTTTTTTTTTCCTTCAAAAATCGTATAATAAATAAATAGTCAAAATGAATGCCTGACGATTTTAATCTGTTTAAGAAAAGTTTTATCTTTTCATCCTGTTTTTTTTCTATGTACAAAATAAGTAGGCAATTTATGACGTGGTTTTTTTTCCATGTGCATTCAAATGTGTACATATAATTTTCCCTTTCTGTCAAGGTGTTTTCTTCGATTATTTTGTTCGCAATGTATTCCAAGAAGCGGATGCATTCGTCTGTGTGCTTGTGGGGAGTGTGGTGTCGCTCACGGTGGCCACCATCTCCATCGTTGTCATTCTGATCACCATCTCCATCGTTGTCATTCTGATCAGCAGCAGCACCGTTCTCATCCTTTATATGCCCCTTCTTGGCCGCCTCCCTGCCTTTAAAAAAATAAATTATAACAAACATGCACACAATGACGTCCGCACAGTCGTCAATCAAATTGTCGTAGAAAATTAGCATGTCTACATATTTCTGTGGTTTATGCAGGTACAAAATGAAGGCGTAATTCTTTAGCACATCCAAGAGCACATTCTGGGGAAAGAGCACAATAACGTTAAAGAGGGCAGAGAATTTATTGCTGTTAATGTAAAAGTTAATTATGTAATTGTAATCATTACACATGAATTTAAAGAGCAGGAGAAAATTTGTCTTGTTGGAACTCTCTAGGATCTGCGCAACAACGTCATTAAGCTGGAAGAATGTTTTGAAGTGCTTGAGCAGGATGATCATGTATACACTGGCTTCGAGGCATTTGTACGCGTAGATGTCTCTGTACAGTTTTCTCTTCGCGCGATCCTCCGTTGAGTTTGGCGGCGTGACTGTATTTTTCGGCATGGTTGAGTTTGGCGGCGTGGCTGCGTTCTTAGGCACGGCACCGGTGTGCTCCTCTTCCGAGGTCAGCGGTGCTGTGGGGGACACACCACTTTGCTTCGTCTGCCCTGCTTCCCCCTGGAGGTGTGCCTCTCCCTCCACGAAGACCTTTCTGTACCTTTCCAGGTCATCCAAAATCAGCCCCTTCTGAGCTTTCAAAAAATTGAAAATTTCTACATTCTTCATTTTGTATATTTTTAGGAGGACGTAAAAATTGTCGCTCTCGGTTAGCGTTTTAATATTCATTTTCTTGCCCTTCGAAAAGTCGAAACTGTTTTTAAGATCATTCCTTTCGTCCTTCTCTATCATCTTCTGGAAGAAGCGCATGAAGGATTTTTTGCCGCTTCTCAGGTATTTGTCATTTTTTATTGCACTCTCTACGTTGCTCTTATGCACACTGGTTGCTCCTTTCTTCTGCTCTCCATCATGACCCGCTTGTTGGTGATTACCAATGTTGAGGTTGCCTCCCTTGGTATTGTTCAACTTTTTCTCATTTTCGATCATGTCTTCACCTCCTGCTGCGCTTTCGTGTTCCCCCGTTTCTTTCGAATGGGTCTTCTCCTTCCGCTTCTTTTTGTTCGCTTTGCTTGCTTTACCCACTTCCGTTTGATAGACCGGCTCTGTGTCCTTTCCGCTCACTTCGTCATGACTTGGATCGGTCTCTGCTTCCGAGTGGTCACTAGGCTGACCCTCCGAGTGGGGAGTTGCGTCCGATTCCGCTTCATCGGAGGGGCCCAGTTGGGCGGAACACATGGAATCTGTCCCACTTGGTGGATCAGAATTTATACTTGGTGAATCGGAAGTTTCACTTAGCTGATCGGATGTTACAATTTGCTGATCTGAAGATACACTTGGTTGATCAGAGGTTACACTTGACTGCTCTTCTGGGGGATTTCCAGCGTTGGCTTCATTTTGGAGCTGCCGTCGAGGGAAGGAGCAGCGCGTGATGAAGTACAGGTGCATGTATAGATCGAGGGAATAGGAGTACAGCTGGACGAGCCATATGAAGAACACGATCTTGAGGACGTTATTATAGTAGTGAATGTTATTGTACAGATGGGACGCCAAAAGAAAGTATTGCTTTTTATGTAAAAAGGAAATTAACATTTCATCAGTGGAGATGTGCAAATTTTTAAACTGATCAATTTGGTACTTGTTATTCTTTAGGATATATTTTTTTATTTTTATTCTTTCGGAGTTTGTGCATGACTCCAGGATTTTGGAAAGATTTTTTTTTCTCAGATTCAGCTTCAAATTATCATACTCGGTTTCTAAATCATTTGATTGTGTATACTCGTTAAGGTAAAATCCTTCCCCCTTTTTCTTACTTTCAACAATTTTGAACATGTACTTGGATGTGCAGAGCCATACTTGGTCATCTGAGTTGTCTTTCATTATGCGTATGACGTCTCCATACGTTTCTATGGCTAGGGTTTGCTCGAACACCTTCTTAAGGTTACCACTGTTCACAATAATTAGTTTTTCTTCCAACAGGAGAAATATGTATAATTCACTTACGCACATATCTACGACAGCCGAGACGGTGTTTTCGTAAGGTTTGGATTCTTGTGTTGTGAGGACGGGTTCTGTGCCTTGTTGTTCCGTGGGTGAATCGTCCACATTGCTAGCCAATACATTTGTGTTCCCTTTTTGGCAATACAAGGATTCATAAAACGATTTTATAAATGCAAAGTTGTTTGCATTTTCGCTTGTCAGTATGTTTAAGTCAAGGAAGTTGACAATGATATAATTACTATCTAGGTACCACTCATTCATGAACTTGTTTTTTTTCTTCATCTGTTTAGTCTTACTCTGCTTCTCCGGTTCCAATAAATTTCTATACTGGTGGTTACTTTTGCGTGTCTGATTCGTTTGTGCGTTTTTTTTCCGATTTGTGGAGTAACCCGATTTGTGCACTTCCCGCTTGTTCCTGTTCCCCTCTTCATCTTCCTCACTAAAAGATGCAAGGTTGATCCCATCGATTGAAGTGTCCGACTGGGAGGAATAGGACGGGAAATCGGGCTCCTCAAAATTGTTTTCATCCTGGTTTAGGTTCCATTTGGATGTAGTGGGGAAGTCATTTTTCGCCCGGTTGGAAGATTTTCCCCCCTTGCAGTTGTTAATTTTGCTAATAAATATACAACATCCGTTGAGCCAGAAGAGGTAATTCCTATTTCTGATGTTTTCAAATTTCAAGATAGAAGTTAAGGAATCTATGCAGCATTCATATACCTTTGTTTCATCCCCTGCTTGGATGGTGTTGAAATTATCTGTGTTCGTTTTTATTCTCGTTTCTTGTGGATACAATTCGCTTCTCTCGGTGGGGTTATTAACACTGTTGCTTTTATACGTATAGCTAATTTCGTGCAAGCTATTACATGTAGTAAAATAAATAATTCTCAACATATTATCATCATTCGCATTTTTTGTAATGCTTGGTTGGTTAGAAATATCCTGATTGATCATTCCTATGTCCAATATGGAAAGTTGGCTGTTTGAAAAAATAACTTCATGCTCTCTGCTAGTTTTCGTTTTATTATTTATGCTCATTTCAATTATTTCTCCATCCTTGGTTGCCACCAGAAGGGGTGCCGTATTTTTAACTTCATTGGACTCGTTGAAACATACACTTGAAATGTTATACTTTTTTAACTTGGCCAAATTCAGAACAATGTTATATTCAAAATGGATATAAATATATTCCTTGTTCGCTAGACATATAAATCCATGATAGCATTTGTTGTCAAAAAACATGGACCGAATTTCTGCTTTACTGTTTGTCGTTTTTTTATTATAAAAGTCTACATGGGAGAGTTCATTTTTTTCTAAGTAATATTTTATTAAGCTATTGTTGCACAGGACCATATGAATACATTTGTTGTGGATGCTAAAGTGCGTTATTCTATTCTTCAGAAGGTTGATGTTGCCATGCTTAATTTTAAATAGCTTCAGGGTGAACTTTTTGTCCGACTTGTTCATTTTGACGAGGGGTACCAGGTTGATGTGTCGAGTAAAATTAGAGCTTTTCTGACTCCTCTTCAGGCTTCTTCACACTTCGCAGTGTGGTATATGTTGTTATCGCCACCGGGCGGGGGGGTGTTGTACGTGTGAGGGGTGATTTGTTACTTACCTCCACTGAGTATGTGCATAGTTGGGGTTGTTTTGTTAGAGGGATATTATCCCCTTGTTGTATATTTTATATCTGACGGCTTCGTACCTTACGAGTGGGCGACACAAGCACAGCGCTGTGCCGGATGAATGCCCCGTGGTGGAGGAAGCTACCACGATAGTGACATCAGAACAGTGGGGCGCTTCTTCCCATTCAGTGGCTTTTCAAATGAACAAAAAACAGGTGTACATAGGTACATGCATGTATACGTATAGATCCGTATTGTTTTCTAAATGCGGGGATGAAGTCCCCTTTGGAAAGCGGCTAGCGAGACGAGAGTCTGTCCCTTAGGCCCTTCTTCCAATCTTCAAATATTGTGAAGGGGGGCAGGGGACGCAACGGCCACGAGCCTCTGTTAGGGCACTTCAAATTGTGAGAAACAAAAAAAAAAAAGAAAAAATTGGGTCAATAAAGAAAAACCCATTTCAGCGAATGGCGTAGAGGAAATAAATAAATAACGCGCAAATGGGCCAAAGTTCAAACGTTCAAAAAAACATACAAATGCAGGGGCATGTTCTGTGAGAACAGTTTGAATCGCTTGGGGGGTAGCAGCGACTCACCTGAGTAAACTCCACTCCACAGGTGGCGTTGAAAAAAAAAAAAAATATAAAAAAAAACGCACCCGCTTTTATCCTGTAGATATGGATACGCATACAGAATTGCTACGTTGCAATTTTTTTTTTTTTTTGTATTTCCCCCAATTTAAAGTGGTAAACAGAGGCACCCTGAACAAAAAAGGTACGTTTGCAGGCATACAAAAAAAAAAAAAAAAAAAAAAAAAAGGGTACAATAGCGGGTGGTATACATAAAATGAAATCTCGAGGAAAGGCGAGCGGGGGATCAAAAAGGCATATAAACATGTGCACATATGTTATATAAATATATACATGATATGCGCACCTAGGTGCTCATCGCAGACGGCGCTCATCTATTTAGCAGTCCACTAGTAATAGCCTTCCTTGAGGGAGAAGGCGCCCTTAACCTGCACGTCCTCGCCGATTTTCTTCCGCCCGAGGAAGTTCCTGCACACTAAGTACACCTCCCTGGACTCACGCCTAGACGCCCTTGGTTTAGTTGTATTGACGAACTGGAAAATGGTTTTCAAATAAGTCTTCAAGTTGTCCGTCTGGCTCCCCAGGTACATCTTAACAACATAGGTCCCGCCCATGTTTATATACTGTTCCATAAAATTCGTTATTCCTAAAGTAAGTTCACAGGAATTCAAATGATCATCAATTTTGTTTCCTACACAAGGTACAGCGGCATCACTTAATATTATATCGACTTTTTTCCCCTGTAGGATTTCTCTTAACTTCACATCTACAACGTTATTATCGTTAGGGTTATCCTTTGCTCCTCCTATTTCTGCATGTATAAAGTGTATATTCGGTAATGGGTCCATAATTTTTTTATCAATGCCAATAATTTCATTTGAGTAATTCTTTGTTCGTTCTAAAATGACTTGGCACCAACTACCCGGGTAGCAGCCAATATCTAATATGATTTTATTTTTCTTGAGGAACATGTATTTATTGTCTAGTTCGATCAGTTTATATGCTGCCCTACTTCTGTAGTTGTCATTTTTTGCTTTCAATACATACCTGTCCGTTATTTGCCTTTGTATCCACTGGCTTGAGTGGCTGCTTTTTTTGTTTAACACCTTTGGCGGGGCTTCCTTATACAGCCGCATATGCATGTTCTGAAAAAGGAAGTTTTTCTTCCCAGTTAGATGATGGAGCATTTTCATTTTGTGCACATAGCAATCACAGGAAGCTGCTGCTTTGTGAAAAGAGATATGGGGTATTCTTTCCTGTTTCCTCGTGGGAGTTCCTTCACTGCACGCACATTGCTGCGCCCCTCCCCCCTCTGTGTGGCATATTTTTCCTTTGCCTTCAATTTTTTCAAAAGCGGTGGGGGTCTTCTCCTCCTTCTCTGGTTATGCCTTCCCCCCACCACAGCACTTCGTATATCAGGGCCTTTTCACAGCAGTTCCTACTTTTGGTTCTCCACCCGCGGGTATACTGACATACATATAACTCCCCTGCGTGTGTGTTCACCAATTTGTGCACCTTCTACATGAATGAAGGACAGCCAACTGGTGTCTCTCTATATTTATGTGTTTATCTCCTTAAGCACTTTTATGTGTGAGGAAAGGCTTCACAATATTTTTCACACAAATAACAAGGCTGACATATATAAAATGGCACAACAAGGGTAAATATACATATCTATACATATGACACATGTATTTTTTTTTTATTTTTTTTGGAAGAGAAAAGCCAATACAAGCACAAAAAATGTTTCTCCCCAATTTTGCAAAATTATGGGGAAAACAAAAAAAAGAAAAAAACTATCGAGTCAATTATGCACGTTTTATATTATGTACTTATACGTGTTGGCCATAGTACCCTCTCCTACGTTACGCCGACCAACGTGCTTCTAACGGATGGCTGCATTTGTGGCGCGAAAAAAATGCCCCCCGCAGGTAACCATCGGGCTGTTTCCAAAAAAGGCATTATTTTTCTGGCATTCAGCGTAACGGGGCGGACTGCATTTCGCTGATTTCTTTCCAAATTGCAGCAGGAAAAAAGGGGCGCAATTTTTGAAAGGCCAAAGGGAAAAAAAAAAAAAAATATAACATATATATATATAGATAACGACGTGCCGCACAGATATGTATATATAAAGGCATATGTATTGCGAACGTTCTGAGGCCAAAAAAACCTTGATGAACCAATGGCCACTTGGGGAGGCGAAAAAATATAACCACTAACAACTTAGTCAAGTTAGTGACTCTTCATTTCTTTTTTTTTTCACGGGAAAAATACATCATCGCTTAGGAAGAAACAGCAAAGAGAGCATTTAGAGAGACATACCAAGGGAAACAGTTACATGTAGCTATTTTTTTTTTTTTTTTTTTTTTTGTGCCCTTTAATTTGTCCAAGGTTACCCACGGAGAAACAGCCTTTTTTTTTTTGTTGGTGAGCCCATTGTTGTGGTTGTAACTTTATTTGACGAATGTACCCCCCGTGGTGGTACAGATATAACCGTATCGCATGGAGTGCAGCCCCCCGCATGTGAGCATACAAGTGAGTCCAACGTACTTTGAAGAGGGCGCATCATAGAAAGGGAGTATTCCGGAGCAGCCCATATTTGTAGTAAATTTGCAAGGGAGCAGTCAAAAACGTGAAGAAAAAAAATTACGAGGAGGGCCAAACAAAAACGGGGGTCGGCATAACGGAAGGTTGGAAAAATCGCAGAGGGCTATATACACCCATTAGGCAAAGTGTGTGTACATCTGCGCAGGAAGGTACCGTGTGGTCGTTTAGCGCTCCATTTGTAACGCTCCATTTGTAACGCTCCATTTCTAGCACTGCACCGGTCTCCCTCCGTTCAGACAAAATGGGGTTCTTCAAAAAGAACAAACATGGAAGCTTCAACCGAGGTCAAGACAGCGAAATGAAATTTGACAAAATAATTTTGGGGGGTACATTCTACAAACATTGTGAAAATGATTTAGTGATTAAAAATAAATTGGAAAATTTAGTTCCCTATTTTAATGGTAGGATATTTCTGGAAAATAAACAAGAAATAGGAAAAGTGGATGAAATTCTTGGGCCCATTAACGAATTTTATTTTTCTGTTAAATTAAAAGAAGGGATACATGCAAAGTCGTTTTCTGCCGATACAAAATTTTTTATTGACCAATCACAGACACTCCCACTGAGTAGATTTTTACCTCAAGAAAAGAAAGTCACTCATCAACCAAAGAAGAAGAAAAGGTCGAATAGGGAGAAGAAGCAAAATAATTTGACCCCCAATGTGAAGAAGCCAAATAATTTTACTTTCCGGGGTAATCATAAAAATGACAGAGGTGGCAGGAAGGACAATAATCAGTTTAAAAGGAACAGTGGGAATTTCAGGAATGATAAAAATAATTTCAAGAACAGACCTAACAGCGGTCGTAAGTTTGGAAACCAGAGGGGTCGCTTTTAGGGACCAACCCGGTCACTGCCCCTTCGCATATAAATGTACACCCACATGTGTATATCTATATATGAATGTATGTGCGTATGTGTGTGTATGTATGTATAACCTATGTACGTGCCCGCTTGCGCTTCTTCTTTTTTTTTGTGTATGCCTTTTAACGCCTCGTTGCGCAGTAAACTAATTTGTTGGGCACTCTTGAGAGCCTAGCTAGCCGCGTATATAGCATGCAATTTTTAATTAAAATGAACAAAAAAAAAAGAATGTCCAATTCGATTGCTTCTATTTTTTCCAAAAAGACAATTTTTCCCTATGAATTTTTTTCTCTGTAACAGGGTTATTTTGGACGACGTCCGCTTTTATACCAATCTTTGGCGCGTTTTTTTTGGGGCCCTTTTACACTTGCGCAGAGTTGCTTTTCCTCATAAGAGCTGCCAGTTTGGACAGCCCGTGTGCGTGCCAAGGTACACACAAAACGTGGCACCAACGGTGTGGGTTTCATGTCAGCGACGAGTTCGAACCCGAATTTTCTTGTATTCCCCTCATTGTTATTAAACACGTAAGCAAAGTTGATTTGCATAACAGACAAAAAATTAACATTAAAAAATTATATACCTTATCGGTTAGGAAAGCGGAACGGACGAATTTTTTTTTTTTTTTTTTTTTCGCCCCATGTGGCGTTGTGTATGCCCTGCGATGCGGCGGACTGGGCGGCGTTTCAATGTGCTTGCCGCAACTTCATTTTTTGTCCTCGTCCGGAAGATTCTTAGGAAGATTCTGTGCAAGATTTTTCTCAAGGGTGGAATTCCCCGCAGGTGCATCGGATTTGGCACCCACTTGGTTCACCCTCCTATTAGCTACATAGGTACATTCAATGGGGACAAAGATGTTACTTTCGTAACCCTTATTTTTGACCATCTTTTTTTTTAAAACACCCTCTCGTAAAAGTCTATCTATTAAGGGCTTGGCAAGCAAAGGATAAATGTTAAGTCCCTTTGTAATAATTTCTTTATTAACATATTTCGTGGTAACACACAAATTGTACACATCATTGTACAGTTTTTGTATGTCTTCATTAATTTGATTCATGTTCTTTTCATCCAATTGGTCTATCTGCTCTACGGTTTCCTGACTTTGTTGGGGTTGGGAACTGTTGTTCAGCATGCTATTTTCATAACTGTTTCCAGTGTCTGAATTTTTCACGCTATCCTCTTTGGACATGTCGATGAAATTCGCATCTGCATTTGGCTGCTGCTGCGCGGGGCGGTCGTTAGGTGGGTCATCGGACGGACGATCAACCGGGTCTACAGCCGCGTCTACAAGCGGGTCTACAACCGCGTCATCTTCTTTGCGGGATTCCTCTTTGGGTGCTTCATTCGAGTGCTCTGTCTGTTGCATCTGTTCCGTCTGCTCCACCTGCTCTGTCTGATTCACCTGCTCTGTCTGATTCACCTGCTCTGTCTGATTCACCTGCTCTGTCTGTTGCATCTGTTCCGTCTGTTGCATCTGTTCCGTCTGTTGCATCTGTTCCGTCTGCTGGATCTGTTCCACCTTCTCCACCTGTGCTGGGCCTCGGTCCCCCTCGTGCTTCTTCTCCAAGCCCTCCTTCCCATCGCTGCTATCATGAACGAACTTATAAAACTTGTATCCGTCCCTGCGAATGATGTTTTCGTGAACCAGTTTATGCAAAACTTTGTCAATGTCGTAGTTGGACACACTGGGGTATTTCTGCCTGATTTTTATCTTGCTCAGAATTTTATATCTAATGATGTACAGCCTTATTTTGTGAAGCATCCTCTTTTTATATTTAAGCATGAATTTTTTGTGCTTTGATTTTTGGTCTTTTAAATTTTTGTACGTTAATTTGTCTTTATTTTTTCTTTTCATTTTGATCAGGGACTTATCTTTGTGCCTTTTGATAAATTTTTTTCTATTTTCGTATTGCTCCCTGTTTCTACCCTTGTTCAGATATGCATTTGCATTGTCCACTTCGTAGTAAGAGTACAAACGGCTGGTATTAGCCTTGGAATTATTTTGAATTCCGTAAGACTTATTTAGTTCGTTAGAAGCTTTTCCATTTTGGTTTCTATTGGGGGCATTATTGGAAGACGAATTATCATACAAGCGGGTAGCCATGTTGTCCATTTTCCTTTGGTAGGAGTTACAACTAAAGTAGGAATTTACAAATTCGCTTTTATTGTTAAGGCAGTATTTATTTTTTTTTTTCTTCTTCTTCTTACCGTCTTCTATTTCTCGCTTCTCTACCTTTACACAATCATGTTCATCTGCATCCTTGTTTGTCTGGGAGAGTATTTTGCCTATCTTGCTGTAGCAGTCGTTATTATCCGAGTTACTACTATCGTCTTGGTCGTTACTGCATTTGATGACTCTAACTAACGAGGCTGAAATTTTATCATTCATTCTACTATCCAATGAAGATGGCGATAAGTTTTTTTTCTTTTTTTTACCACTTTTTTTATAACTACTTTTTCTTCGTTTACGCGACCGTCCATCGCTCAAACTGGAGTATTCCTCGTTCGTGTCGTAATCAATACTGGAGTCACCATCATCTTCATCGTTGAAGACGTCTTCCTCCGTTTCCTCATCTTCATATTCATCAGAGCAATCAAAGTCTGCGTCTGGCTTTTCCTCATAGCGAGTCTTCAGTCGGTTACGATTGTCTCCAGTGCGATTATGAACACCACCTGGGATGGTGCCATTATTCCCCTCTACATATTCTTCATCCTCATCTCCTGCTTCCTCCTTTGCAAAACCGTTATCATCAATGACGATGCAGTGCTTCCTACCCTTCCCTTTACTTCTCCTTCTCACTAGTCGTTTCTTTAATAAGGCCTTTCTATCTTGCTCGTGCTTGGACTGCTTGCATCGGTTTTCTCTTCGATAAGCAGCGTACTTATTAATGTCATGATTTTGGTAATAGTGAGAATTACCATGGAGACCCGCGTCAAGGTTGTACTGATTTTTCGCTCCCCTTGTATAATCCCCTGGTCCATCACATTGGTAATAACCCCCCTTTGTCATTTTTCCATACCGACGACGCTTTGCATTGTTCATGTCCTGATTTTTCACTTCGGTGGAGTTGTAAGAATGCGCCTTTTTTTCATTACTGGCGGTAGTAGAATTGACAACAATGGAAAGGTAGTGATGACCTGTATCAACCCTTCCGACATAGTCCTCCTTGGGTAAATTCACAAATTTTAGTAGATCCTTATTGTCTGGGTTTCTAAAGTAAGGGGGCTGATAATTGTACGGAACGATTTCATCATAGTAAAGCAGTTTCATGGAGAGGTACGTTCGCTCAGGTAAAGGATTTAACGTCTGTGTGAGTAATACTAGCGACCTTAGCAATTCATAGGTCTTTTGTTTTGCGTCTTGTTTAAAGCATAAGGCTGTTTCCTTTTTTGTCTTATGCCCATTTAACAATCTCTCTTTTATATCATTCAACCTGTTGCGGTTAAAAATTTTCTTTTTTTCTTCCATTTGGCTCTTTGTGCATACATTATTATTGGTATTGCTTTGGGACGTCTCCAAAGTGATGCCAATTTTACCAGCCCTAACAGCATTGTAGGAAAAACTAAATTTATAACATTCGATGGAGTTATCATATATGTCATTTATATCTAGGATTAGGATTCGTAAGTATTCTTTTTCTATAGCTTCGAATACTCCTTTTTCAAGCCAATTAATTATCATATGTGCTTCTCGGTTAATGGGTAAAAGTCTTTTTAATTTTAATTCTTGTATGTGTACTTCTTCATAGGCACTTTCTTCAAATACATTTCGTAAATAGGTGACTAAACTGATCCCAAGTTTGATTATATTTTTTAGCATGTTCACTGAGTCCTGCTTCGTTAGCTTGTCCGACTGGGTGTGTGTCCTAACCGACATTCGAGAAATCATTTTGGCCGTTTTTGGGAGTGGCAGTAACACAACATGTATAGGAAAGTCCAAAGCCGAGTGTGAAAAAAAAAAAAAACAAATCTGAACTGTCAAATGGGTGTCGCCACGTGCGCGGAAGGCAAGTGCAAGTTTCTTGCGCTCAACTGCTGGCGAAGCGTATTTATTCGACGCCACCAGTCGTTACAAAAGCATACGATAAAAAAGACGGGTAACGCGCTAGTAACATATTTGTGAAGCGCACAACGTGGGTATAACGCTGCCACAGAAGGAAGCTAGCCGGTTTGGGTTAAAAAAAAATTGACAAAATAAATTATTTTAAAATAATTTACACTCGGTTCAGACAACGTATTCCTTGTGGTAACAAAAATGATATATAGCTTTTACCAATATAGTGGAACCTTTTCGAGGATGCCAGCCGTGTACGCTGGGGAAAACAAAATTGAACAAAAAAGAAGGACAAAATAAGGCAACAAGAAGGCCAAAAAGGAGGCGCAAAAAAAAAAAAAAAAAACTACAAAATATGTGCACACAAGCAAATGCAATGTGTATATAAAAGACCAAACATAGTATATTCGGGACAATATTATAGAACCAATCAAAAAAAAAGAAAAATTGCTAAAGTAGACAATTTATTATGTAAAAAAAAATTTATTTGCTTAAAAACGGGAAAACACGGAAACAAACAGAACAATTTTTTAAGGTACAGACCGGTGAAATTCCGCTCCATAACTTTTTTTTTTTTTTTTTTTTTTTTTTTCCAAATCATTGTAGTACATACAACTATAATTTATTCTTTAAAGAACTGCTCGAATGTTCACCAGTTATATGTACTAATTTTATATGTACACGCGTATGTGCATATTGTGTACTTTTAAAAGTTAAGAAAAAAATTAGAATAGTGAGTACACAAGCACATATTTGGCTATTGACTAGTTACGGATTGGTCATTTACGCATTTGTATATGTGCAAATATAATGAGGTGAAATATAACAAGGTGATGGAAACAGAGAGGAGGCACAAGAAAAGGGTTAGCAAATGTGTGTGCGAAGAAGAAAAGACTGTGTGTGTAAAAAACGATTTCACAAAGGTGTAACGCGTTATGGTGCTTTAGAGCAGGGATAACTAATTAAAGTACTTTTGTAAAAGTATGAGCGGATGGGCAATTTGGCAAAACGGTTAGCAGTTACTGGGTTTCACGGAATTAGTAACATTTTAGGCAATATGCGTTAAAATGTAAAAATATAATTTTGGGTAATCTAGATTGGGAAACCTAGGCGGACAAAAAGTGCCAAACTGTCGTCATATGTAAAAAAAAATTGAGCATACACAAAAAAAAAAGGTGGACTAATCAGGAAAAAAAATGCAAAAAAAAAAAAAAAAAAGAAGCATATAAATTTATACATATATTATTGTACATCATAAAACGTGGCATAAGGGGAGCCAAAAAAAAGTGACAAAGAACAGTTACCAAAAAATAACAAACAGATGGGAAACAGATAAACCAGAAAGGGATCACCAAAAAGGACTCAACGAAAAGGAGTCGAGAGCACATCAAATGAGAGTCAAACAAGTGTCAACAAATGGAGATAAAGCAGCATCCTGGAAATGTAAGCAACAAAATCGACACGAATGATCGGTAGCGTGCCGCTGGGTAGCGCAGTAGGGTCAGCATAATGAGAACAAAGCGAAACGAATGTGTCAAATGAATCAAGTGCACTACAAGAAATACGCACCGAAATGTGTAAAAGGCCGAATGTGTACAACACAGCGAGGAAGAGGTAAACGCAAAAAGGGTAAAAGGGCAAAAAGCGCAGAGAGCGCGAAAAAGCGAAAAATTACCGTAACATGTTTTTCAAAAGAATATACGTCGACGTCTCATAATTCCTACTACATACAAATGCCCAGTATGGCCACATGTTCTTAATTTTCGAACTGCTCGAACGGCACATAATAATAGAGTACGCGGCAATCGAGTTCTGTGCGAAACTTTCGAATTTCTGTGCTTCCGCATTTTGCCTTTTTCCACTTGGACGCATTCGCATTTGGCGCCTCCACATATTGTTGTTTCCCCATTTTGGCCCTTGTTCATTTTCGGGCGCCTTTTTTCTTAATTTTGCAATGAAGTACTTTTTTTTTACTTAAGGACACTTTAAAAACATAATTTTTGCATCCACTGAAAGGGAGGAGTTAATATGGACATGGATCTTCTGTAATTCTAACAAATAATCAGCATATAGAAAAAATAAACAAAATTAAATTTGGCAGTTTTTCGTAAAAAAAAAGAGAGAAAAAAAAAAAAAAAAAAGGAAAAAATTTTACATGCACAGTCAGGTGATAAATTTTTAGCAACACGTACATATAATTTATAAGTGTACCGGATTTATTTACATTCTTCACTTTTTTTTTTTTTTTGGAGGCGAGAAAAAAAAAAATAGAAACATAACACCTGTCCCAAGTATTATTTCACCACATCTTTTGTCAACTGAGGTGATAAAAATACAACCCTTTCAGCGTATCCTCGATCTTTTGACATGTTACCCGCCCCTTTTCTCGTGTATGCAAAAATGTTCGTTTTATTTTTTTCCAATTATATCTAACTTGTCCGCGCTACCAGATAAAAATTTCGCACAAACGAAAAATAGTGTATGCATAAAAAAAAACATTTCGACATACAAAAAAAACACGCGCACGTTTAGGAAATACTTAAAAAATGAGTTAAAGAAAGTGGACTACAGTTTTTTTTTGCTCTTCACCACAGAATGTAAAAATGAACAAACATAATAGGATTAACAAATCAGAAAATAGTCACAGTATAAATTAAATGGATTTTAAGAAGGAAAAATTTCAGACTTAAAAAGGAGCAACCCTTATTTCATTTGATCGCTTTTCTCCGTCACATATATAACATATCGTAACACAGACGTACACGGCACAATGACAATGAAGATGATGTGCCTTTTTTGAATCCTTTTAACAAATTGTTTTTAACTTTTTTTTTTTCCCCCTCCTTTTTTTTCTTTCTTACCATTTAACTTGTACACAAAATGGAAGAACCACAGAAGAAAAGAAAATCCAGATGGGGGGACTTAGAAAACACAGCAGATAGTCTTAACGAGACGAGCAGGACGGTCGAAGTGAATAAGTCAGCTGAACCGATTAGAACCAATGATGTGAATGCGCTGTTAAACAGAGCGGGTAACATTTTAGGAGACTTCAGTGTGAGTGCAGCGTCCAAGTTGAGCACTGGCACCCCTGGACTAGTGAACCCGCCTATAGGGTTGACCGCCGGCGCTACGAGTTTACCAACTCAGTTCCCACTCACAGCGCAGAGTTTCCCGGCACTCTGTTCCACCATGCATTTAAACATATTAAAAGCGACAGAGACAGCCAAATTAGCAATAGAAAGGGCAAAAAGAGCTGGCAAGCTTAAGGAGGACATGAAACAAAACCTTAGGAAAGTAGACTTCGTACCGAAACCTTTAAAATTTGATGAACAAGGCAGAGAAATAGATGATGAAGGAAATGTGATCAACATAAAACCGATTACGTTTTCTACACTCAAAGTGAATATTAACAAGTTGGAAGAAAATAACCTTTTAAAAAAAAAAAACGAAATAGGAAATAAAAATGTGGAAGAGTATCTAAATGATGATAATAGATGGTTTGATTCTAGAATAAAAAATGTTCAAAAAAAAAAAAAAAAAAATGCCTTTAATTTTATTACACCAGGTTCTTTTATGAAGCTAGCCAATTCGAGGAACTATAATACAAAAGCGCAGATGAATTTTGATTTGAAAAAATTTATGCAAGATAAAAAGAATGTGCAGTCGTTGCAAGAAATGTCTTTAAACTTTTTAAACAGTGATTTAAATGATAACGTCAATCCAAACTTAATAGATATTAATAACAAAGGTGTTAACAAAAGGAACGAATGGAAGGAGGATGAAAAATATGACGTGATGGAAAAATGGGATTTGGTTTTATTCAAAAAGGTTGAAAATAAAGAAAACTTGCATGAGTACATTTCGGAGCAAATGGCTAGCTGGAAGGAGAAGCTCCAAATGGATGGCGATACACATAATGGAAATCGTCATGTAGACGCAGAGGACGGTGCTGCAGGGGAGTCCAGCAAAAGTGATAACAATGACCCAGATGCTTGCAGCAGCAGCATCTACCTTGAAGTGAACAAAATGATACAGAAGCACAGCGAGAATATTCTCCTGCTACAAACTAACGAAATCATAATTAATGACGAGCTGTATAAAATAAACGTTAAGAAAATAACAAATTATGTGGAGCATCCAATTTCGCTAAATGAAGATAAGAAAGAAGAGAAGACCGCTCCACACATGTTTTTAACCCCCGTGGAAAGAAAAAAGCTCAGGAAGAGAAAAAGACAAGAAAAGGAAAGAGAAAAACAAGACAAAATTCGAATCGGATTAATGCCCCCACCGCCACCTAAGATGAAACTATCAAATCTGATGAGGGTGCTTGGAGACAGTGCAGTTTCGCAGCCCTCCAGAATAGAACTAGAAGTGAGGCAACAAATGAAAGAAAGAGAACTACGACATTTTAAACAAAATCAGGAAAGAAAATTAAATCCTGAAGAAAAAAGTAAGAAGAAAATGAAAAAATGGAAATGTGATCCAAATCAAGAAAATGAAGTCCTCGTTATTTATATATCAAATTTGTCTAATAAAAAACACATATTTAAAATTGACATAAATGCACAGCAGCTACATTTGACTGGTGTGTGTGTTATGACTGTTCTTTACAATTTCATTATTGTGGAGGGGAAACACATTGCCGTTGAGAGGTATAAGAGGTTAATTTTTAGGCGCATCAAATGGAATGAAGATGAATACAATGAGGATGAGGAAGGGGACGATGACGAGGATGAGGATGAAGATGAAAATGAAGAAGGAGAATCAGGAGCCATGAATCACGATCATAACAGTAGCAACCTTAAGGACAAAGCAGATCAAGGTAAAATGAAATCCAATTTTGATACACAGTCAGATTTTCCTAATGATGGTGCAAATATTAATCTAAACCAGGGCTGTACTTGTAGCCTCATTTGGAGTGGCACAGTGAAAAAAAAAAATTTCCTCAACTGGAAAATGATAATTGCCAAGACGGAAGTGGAGGTAACAGATTACCTGCAGAAGCATGACGCGTTGCACTACTACCACATAGTCAAGAAGCACAGGAATGTGTCCGATGATGTGTAATGGCGGGGTTGCGTAGGGCGTGAACAGAGTGACGCAAAAAAAAAGACGAAAAAAAACTTCCTCCACAGAGGGAGCCACAATTTCGCAGCTTCCTGTATTTCTTCCTTTTAAGCTAATTAAATTAGGTGTACCTTTTTTTTTTTTTTTTTTTTTTTTTTTTGACACTTTTGTAGTGGTCATTTGGGAGAGAGTAGACGGTGACACTCCTCCTTTGATTTCCGTTTCTTGCACATGTGCCTTTGTTACCGGCTTCTAATTTTTTTATTGTACACGGCGCATTGTTTATTGTGCGTTCGTTTGGCCCCTTTGGCGATTTTGGCCCTGTTTGCCCGCTTTACGCCATTGGGGATTGTTTAGATTTTTGGTGGTTTTGTATCCCAGTTGGTTCTTCACACCGACGGGCTGTTTTCATCCCTTTGGACCACCAACCCATATATTCACCGCTTAGCATTTTGAATTATTAACTTTATAATTTACAACTACACGCAGTTACCTCAATTTGTTAAACAGTAAATGAGTTAACACAACGTGGTAGAAACAAAGGAAACTTCAAAATATGTATTAAAAAAAAAAAAAAAATTGCCCCAGTGGGGAATTGTTTATTAAGTGTTTTAAAGGACTTCCCTCTCATAATCCTTCACGGGGTGGTCGAAAATCAAAAGTATAAAATTACCAACGTCATCTGCAAAATGAGGCGGGGGAAATGGAACAATGTCAAGGGAATAATTGGCATGCGACATGTTTCAAGCTTTGTTTAGACGAATGACGATTTGTAAGAACGTGTAGGGGTGAAACGCAGCCATGGAAAAAAAGGTCTATAAAATATTATATTGAGTGAAAAAAGAAGAAACATTTATAGGGGCACTTTCTCTCTTACATCGTCAACGGTGTCGATCCTCTCCCACCTTCTCCAGGACTCCTTGATAATTTCCTCTGCAGAGAAGAAAAAGACGGGCAAATAAGTTAGCGGTGGGATAGACTCACAAGGGATATATAACATGGCCCACCTGCAACACGCGCATGCTCTTCTCACATATCGAAATGTGCACGTGTGTGCTCTCTCTGACGCTCGCTGGAGTATTACCCATGGCAACGTGGACCTTCTTCTTGCGCTTGCGGGAGACCATCTGGACACACTCCTCGCTGCTGATAAATTCCCAGATGCCGTCCGTGGCGACGATAATAAATTTATCCTCGTCCGATTTGTCAAAAATGTTGATGGTGGGTTCACAAGTAACTCCAATGAAGGACGACGTGATGTCACCGATGGCTCTACTCATGGCCAAGCCTGGATACATTTCATTTTTGACGAAAACTCTGTAGGAGACATCTCCTTGTAACTTTTTCACTTCCCCACCAAAAGCAACAATGCGATCTTTCTCTAATTTTAAAGATGGCTTATGATCTTCAGTGATATTATAAGCTCTGAAGGCATTGGTCTGTTGATTCTGCTTGCCCATAACAGCTCTGCTGTCTCCTGTGTGAGCGGAGTAAATTTTCTTAGTTTCAAAATTGTATAAGATGATGGTACAAGTTGTTCCACTTAAATTATAATCGATGAAATTTATGTTGATTGGATTTATGTTATTGTTTATGCAGTATGAATAATTAACCAAGTAGCAGTTAATCATATAGAATAGCGTTTTCATAGTGCGCACCGGATTTTCAAATATTCTTTCAATATTATATGAGAAGAGAAGGGGAAGGACTACATGAGCAAAATTACTAATATCATGTCCTGAAGGACCATGTCCATCAAACACCATAATTAATATCCATTCATTTGTTTGAATAATGGTAAAATCATCTTGGTTGGGGAAATCTAATTTTCTTCCTTTCTTACACGCAACGGATATTTCAGCATCACATGTGTAAGAAGGGGATTTATAAAAAAAGGTATTTTTATCCTGAAATGGTTTTGTGTTTTTCTGGTACAAGCAATACGCACCCATAACGATGAAGGTTATATTAAGATTCGGTAAATTTTGATCACATGGTATTTCTGTAATGTCTCTTTTAATCCATTCTTTTCTATCAACTGATTCTACAATTTTGGAAAAGGAGCATTTTTCCTTTTTCCTTTTCAATTCATATTTAAAGTTTTTTTTCTTCTCACATTTTTCATCCTTCTGACCCACTTGTCCATTTTGTTCACCTTCCCCTTCTTCATCACTCCCCATGACTTTTTTCAAATAAGTACTCTTATACTTTTTTTTCAACTTATTGCATTTATTTTTTATGTACTTTTTTAACAAGGTAAAATCATTTTTTAAAAAGCTGTCGATAATTTCTTTAGGGAACGTAGGGAATTTCATAATGTCGTGATTTATATTCAATGAATTTCTCAAGGCATATCTGTCCTTTTTATTTGGGTCCAGCATGTCTACTATATTATTAGCATTGAAGTAAAGGAAAAGGCTAAACAAAAAAACGACAATGATATCCACATCTCTTATGTCATTTAAAATCATATTGCTATATTTTATGTTGAGTAAATTTTCTTTTTTGTTTTTTTTGCATAAATCGTTGGTATTAATTAGGTTGCTATACAGTGACGATTTTTTTTTCGAAGGTGAGTCTACATGTGGAGTATTATACATTCCGTTCCCTTTTTCATTATCTTCATTTGAGGAACCACTTTGGGAAAGCTCTTTTTTATTTTTACCCTTGGATTTGTCTAGTTGTACTTTTCCATTCATATGCGTTTTGGGTTCACCTTTGTCTGTTCCACTGCTGTAATGCTCGCTTGACTTAATTTCACTACTCCTTTTACATTTATGTTTTGCTTTTTTTTCCCCTTTCTTTTCATTTTTATCGTTTATCATCAGTACATCTGATTGGTTACTGGGGGAGTCGCTAGTATGCTCCTTAGATCCACGTCGTTTGTCTTTTTTTCCCTCACTTTGGTCATTATCGCTAGGGTTACCAGAGTGCACATGCTTTGGACCATTTTTATGGGCTCCATTAAAGCTGCCTCTACTCCGGCCGGACTTATACACATTGACATCTCCCTCAGAGCCTTTCCCTCTTCGGCTCATTCGACGCCTACCATACACATTACTATCCATTGCTCTCTCATTGTCGCAGTTGGAATCAACATCAGACGGCACGTACTTGTTTTTTTTTAATTTAAATTTGGAGAAATTAATGAACGATATGCAGTTTCCCATGGCTGGCGTGTGGAGTGGATGTAGAATGATGCATGTGCAGGGGGAGTAGGTAATAGTTGGGTTATGCTCAAGTCCATACGTGCGTGTGGTTTGGACTTAAGTCGGCGTGGGCCAGATGCAACCCCTGCAGTCACATTCGAAAGGGGCTATAGGTGGGTACATCTACAAGTACATGCACAGACACGTGTTTGTACACCACTGCGGGCAGGTGGAATATTCAATCACAAAAAAAAAAAAAAAAAAAAAATGAGCACAAGACCTGCATATAGTAAGAGCTGTTTGAGGCACACAAAATGTGCTACATAAAATAACAAGGGGGGTAACGAACAAAGCAGTTCAATTGTTTGCACATCGGAAGTGGTAAAAATAGCACTGAGGATTCATTTTACCAGACCATGTCGAGCCGGTGTTGAAAAAGGGGGGGAAAAAAAAGTGGGGGAACGGTTTACAGTTACGGGGAAACCAAAGTGTATATAAAAAGACGCAAGCAATGGGTACTTATAAAACGGTAAGTATGCATTTTTGCCTTTACGCGCTGTAAAACTTTGAAGGCTAAAATGAACCATCTACAGGGGGAAAGCGTGAGTGGGAAGAAATAATTAGATAAACAAAATTTTGCACAAATGAGTGCGCAAAGATGAATTATTGACGAAATGTGTACATTCGCTTATGTCCAATGGGACATGTTTGCATTTCACTGCGTGGGTATGTAGCTCATACTCCTAATGTGCAGTTACCCGAATGTTGTAGGTGCAACAAAAGTGCGCATACATTGGTGGGCACACATCCGCGTGTACACATTGCACATGGGATGTGGTCATGTACGTGACACTTACGGGAGGGAGGGATAAAAAAAAAAAAAAAAAAAAAAAAAAAAAACTGCAGAGCTGGGGGAAAAACAACAAAACAAAAAAAATAAAATAAAAAAATAAGCAGTAACAGTGCTAGAAGCCCCGCTGAAAAGGTAATATTTTCAATGTTGTAGAATAAATTAAAAGCAACAGCGGAGGAGTAACCCCGTTCTGGATAAATAAAAACATGAACTGGCAACAAGTATACACATGAAGCTGGAGGAGGCAAAGGCGAAATGTAACCTCTGTCTAATTTACTTTTCACGCGTACATTAAGTATTATATGCAACAACAGCCTTTATTTAAAATGATTGGTTTAAAAATGAAGTGAAGAAAGGTAATTCGCAACATGTGCTGAAATAGCAACGTATACTTGATTTATAAAATCTGGAATGCAAGAAAAAAAAAAAAAAAAAAAAAAAAAGGAATGAAAACAAAAATGGTCAAAGTGGGAAATATAGGCGAGAGGGGGGGAAAAGACAAATTTTGCTTTTAATAAATCCATAAATGGTCGCAACGGGAAACTTCCATGTAGCTGTAGTGGGTACGCGAATGAGGGGATGTACATATATATAAAAGTGTAAGTGAAGCTGCGCGCGGGAGGCTATTTGGGTATGTGGACGAGTACATAAGCGAACGTCCTCGCGGGGGCAGCACGTGCACTCACTCGGCTGTGCACATTCGTAGGCATGCTGTCCACGAAACAGACAACTGTGCGATGAAGATGACGTGAAAAGAGCTTTGTCGTGAAAAAAACAGCTATGCGTTAATAAGAGAAGAAACGAAAAACATAAACATGTTAAAAAATATATATGCACTTTACAAAACATATGCACCAGGCAAAAGCACTTGAGGTTGTTTTTAACTTCAAGCAAATGTTACACACGTGGACTGTTCACCATCGTTTTTTTTTTTTTTTCGTGCATATTTTTCTACGCCTTCATTTTTTTTTGCTCACATGGGCAAACTGCACAAAATGAACCTTTACAAAATTGTGAATTTTCGCCTGGGCATTTATAGCGACATGAAACAAGGGGAAACTAAATCAGCATGGGCGTGAGCGTGAATGTGGACGTAATCGCGCACGTAAGCATAATCATACATGTTAACATAAACAGACACAAAAACGTATGCGCAAACAGCGCATAAATACATATATACACACTGCACGGAAGCAATCACAGCGCCTGTGCAACGTGATCTGCTGGGCACACGTAAATGGGAAATGCGGCAGCGGTAGCGTAAATAAATGCTTGTATAAAAACATACGCTGTGTGGACAGCACAATCGAATGAAATCCCTAAATGAAAATTATGTGTACATAGAGTACAGCTTGTAAAATCAGGACGGGAGAAAAGGGCGCACGTTGCACAGTCGATGGGAAAATAACAACATTATTGTAACGCATCATTTAGTTCATTTTTTTTTTTTTACTTTAAATTGGTGGTCCTTCATACTGTGCGCCATGCCTCTCTTTTTGGTTTTTGTTTTTTTTTTTGGGGTGGCGGTTCCAAATTTTGCAGGACAGCAGGAGCGGACAAGAAAATATTCACTTTTGTACAGGTGCAAGTGGCAACCACTATAAATAAAAGAAAAGAAAAAAATTCATCCCAGGGGTCCCATCACCAAAATGGACACCCTTATAAGCATATGTACTATAACTACAAGCATCTCTATGCAAAAAAAAAGGAAATCTCCGCGTCACTAATAAATTCTCCCCTTGTATACATTTACATAATGCAGGTGTTTCACAAATGTAACTTCTTGCTACACGGATGCACTGGCTGCGTATAATATAACAGGCTTCACACATGCACACGTTTTGTCGTAGGCATATTGTCAGCACCCACGCAGACATATGCGTGTATGTATATGTGTACCATCAGTGAATGGAATTCGTGGCCGCCATTTGGTTAACCATAAACAACGTACTGAAACATAAAAAATAAAAAAAACGGGAGGAAACACGGGGAAATGGCTTAAGGTACGTTAAATAATCATTGGAGTGGGAACGGCAGCTTGGACGAAAGATGCACAAGGGCAGTGTAAAATGCGAAAGTTGCGAAGGGTACAAAGTGCACACTATGTACTACTTGAGACAGACCGAAAGAGTGGGGGTCACAACGGAATACGAAATGCACACACCAAGAATTCGCTTCCACAAAATGTAGTGAACACTATGGAAAGGACTACGAGTAAATGTATAACAATTAGCAAGGCTTATATAAAGGTAAAAAAAAGTATCAAGTATTAGAGGGAGTTACTATTACATTTCTGTGTATGTAGCATTATGCCCTCTTGGCTTTTGCACTTTATATGGTGAAGGAGTGGGAGAAGAGTATTTCAATTAGGTAGGAGCGGGAAATACATTGTTACAAAATTGCACATGTATACAGAGATAGGAATAAGAATGGGTAGAATTCTCAGCCGGGAGAAGCCACACTGGGTAGAGCCCAAGGGACGCTCGTAGTAACAAACATGAGCAGCAACGGACGGGTTGGAAAAGGAGAAGGTCCTAAAAAGGGGGCAAAATGAGAGGAATCACAAACATGGTCAAAAAAAAAAATAAAACAAAATAAAATAAATTACAAAATTCAATAGCACTAAAATATATAGGAACAGGAGATATATATATTTGGTTCACGATGTTTTTTTTTTTTTGGTTTTTCGTGGTCCTATATGAACCTTTTCATTTGGCTTACATCCTTACAGTAATTCTTTTCTGTGTAAGCATTTTTTTTAAATGCACTCTGAGAATAGCGCATCAATGTTGAAGGAGAAAAAAAAAAAAAAAAAAAAAGGTCAAGTTAGCTAAGGAGAAAACGAAAGTGGTCCCTTCCCACATGGCGCTACAAAAGATATTTAAAAAAAAAAACAAAAATGACATCCCGATATGTTCAATCTTCACATTTTTCGGATCAATTCATGCAGCCAAAAATGCGTGTACGCGTTTGTGCATACAAGACTTTGTTGAGAGTGACGCACGGGTTCAAATACGCACAATAAATATATACATAAATAAACACGCGCATCAGGGGAGTGTGCATGTAAGTATGAATGTACATATAATAGCTACACCTGCACATGGGCACAGCGCGTTAAAAACAGCAGAGGGATAGAAATTTTAAACAGGGCAGATAATAAAATGTAAAATATGATAAGAATGTACATTTCCTCGCTACATGGCACTGCTGGTCGAGGTGGGGTGAGGTGGACGAACATTGATGATCCCCCACTTGGAAGAAACAAAACTTTTGTCCCATACGGGTTTGCACGGCGTTAACAGCGAAGGCATAATTTATCAGGCCTTTTTGCACATCTATTTGGGTTGGTCATTTTTTACAAATTCTCCCTGTACACGTTTGCTATGTCAACGTGGGTCTATTTTTACGTAGTTTTTATTTTGTTTCCTTTTATTTAAATCTACTTTTACAATTAAAAATAGAATTGTTTTCAATTCAAATGCAAAGTTGTGCAGTGATTCAAAAGGGGTAAAAAAAAAAAAAAAAAAAAAAAAAAAAAGAACATTTCATACATTACGAGGAACATATATCTGTCTACCCCATTTCTCATGTTTCCATATACACATACACAATATGCACACAAAGCGTTGTTGTGTCACGGCTACGGACACATGCAAGCTTGTTTAACTTCATTTCTTCATCATTTTGTGCATTTTGGTCTTGGCCATGTTTATTTGTTTCGATTTTGAGAAATCTTTTTTTTGTTGGAAGTGTGCGAGATTTTTCTTTTTGTCATCCTTTCCTTTTTTCTTGTCATCTTTCTCCTTGCCGGCCATTCGAGATTTGTTCTGTACAGTAAATAGAAACAGGGGTGGAAATTGTAGTAGTGATAAAAATGATGGTATGCCAAAACTGCTCAGTTGGGCTTACAGAGAAGCACATATCTCTGTTGTGACACAGACATTGCTTTATATCGCTCCTCGGAAAAGGTCACATAAGTACATATCTCTCATATGTATATGGGGGTATTGCACAAGCACAATGTTGGAAGTATAAGAAGCTGTAGGTTTTTTTCCCTTGCGTTCTTTAAGCTCAATGGGAAAAAAAGCATAAAAAACACACAAAGGGGCATTTGCACATACAAATTATATAATATCATCTAAAACACAAAAAAAGGAATAAAACATTCCATTTTGCCTTAAAATGATATTATATAATTTGTATATAAAATTAAAACCGACTTTAATTTTTGAAGTTTTACTACATGAATATATTTTTTTCAGTTGATATTTTCACGACTCTTAAACTTCAGTGCGTGTGTCCGTTCGAACGGGTCAGGAGGGTAAGTGGAACTGATGGTATGTTTGTGCTGTACGGCCCCTCCTTTTTTTTTATTTCCTCATTTATTTATTCCTTATTTTTGTTCACTCATCAACGTTCACGATTATATTTATTATTGTATTTTATTTTATTTTTTCATGGGTCCCTTACCTTGGCTTCAATACTTTGGACGTAGGCCTTTCTGTTTCGTATGTCCTCGACGGTTAAACCGCAAACAGCCTTCTGCACTTTAATGGTTTTCTTGTACCTCCTCCTTTGAGTTGTTTCAATTTTGGTCTTCTTGTTATTTCGTCTCCATGTCTGCCGTTGGTGATTAAAGGAATAAGAAACGTATGAATTTGGAAATTGCGCAAAATGGGGACTCAAAAGGGAGAATACTCACAAGGCGGGAAATTCCTCAATTCATCCCCTCGTCCATAGACTCACCTGTGTCCATCTCAATTTAGCTGCCTTCTTCTTCTGAAGCGCAAGAGAGGCAAATTTGGATGATAAATAAAAGTAGACTTTTCCGTCCCTTGCAATAAATTTCTGCCCCCTGCCTGGGTATATCCTGTACTCGCTAAAGGAGCACGCCTCCGTTTTCACTGTTGTCTTGATGGACGACATTTTTTTTTTCGCGCACGGTTTTCAGGCGGTTCTTTTATGTAACCTGCAGATGTGGGGTTGCAATTAACAAAAGGGGGGGGGGGGTGTTGATAATACATTCAGTGGGGACACTACATAGCACGGTATGCTTCTTTTCATGTTTGGTGGGCCCACATACACATGGCTATCCCCATGAGCACACAAGCACCCTTTATATGCATACGGGGTTTATGAGAGCAACGGCTTAGCGCGGTGACACACGTTCGTCAAATGACGTAGAAATGATAAGGAGCATTAATTTAGCATATAATGGTAGTTACATTATTATACATATTTTTTTTCCCTATTTTGCCCGTGGATATATTGCCTCATCTCCGCACGCACGCGCTCCCTCCTCAGCCGGATAGGCCCCTCTGTCCCCCACTTCTGTGTATATATCTTTTTATCTCAACAGGTACATTTTCTTTGTTCGCGCGATACGCTTGCATAATAGTTCGCACAACAGTTGGCACGTACAATCGTTGGTAAATACAAGCATTGATGCATTCCCGCACAGCCTCCTCGTAAGTCCCAATTTCCGGCAAACCTTTAATAAACTTTTTTTTTTTTTTTTTTCTGCTTACCTTTTACTTTCCCCTTTATAGGATTTTCGTTCGGCGGGATGATGGGTAAGAGTTATCCAATTAAACCTTTTTATATTTGCTTTACAAATACTTTTAACTCACTGTTGTTTTGTTTTTTCTGCAAATTCATTTTTTTAAATTTGCTTTTTTTGAAAACGACTTAAATTTTTTAAATGAGCTTAAGTCGACATGTGTCATGTTTTTTTTTTTTTTTTTCGGCAAAATTTGCTTAGCTTTTTTTCTGCGCATTCTACCCCGCCTGGCCTCTTATTATCTTGACGTGGGGTTCTCTGAATTTATTTTGTTTTCCGTATGTTTTAATGCGGCATATGAGGAGTTGGCGGCGAAGTTATCGCGAGTGCGCATATGTATATATAATACCGTGCGGAGCAGTATTTATTAATAAAAGTGCGTGCTTAGCATATCATGCGGGTAAATAATTATGCATACACGGCGTTCATATTATTTTTGAATGATAGGAGAATACATATATGAGTGGTGCTATTTCGAGGCTTACCATTTAATCACAATATCCGCCGCGCTCGCAGTGATCCGTCCTCGTCATCTCCTACTGGGCATAACCATAATAACAACGCTGTTGCGCATATTGCAAAAGGAAAAAATACACAAAACCTGTTCCTGTTCGATGCATGTAGAGGCAGGTACAGTAATTAATAATGGTGCACTTATTTAATCTTGCTTTTTCCCTTTGATGCTAAGTACAGGCATAACTGTTATGCGTTCAAGCCACCATGTGCAGTTCACGTTGGTCCCCAATTTTTGTAGGCATCCCCCCAGAAGGGGCAAAGGACGCCACAGATTTATAGCGGGCACATGGGTACACTAAAATGATAAATGGGTATACACTGAGGTACACCTATTTTTTAATGCGCATACGCGTGGACCAGCCCCTATATATAATGGCCGCTGGTAACAAATTCCTTTAGAGTGCATAATTCTTTGAAGCGCTAAGTGCCATCGTACAAATGTGGCCCGTTTGGAAGCAGCCAAAATATTTTGCTGCACGTATATATTTGAGTATATGCAGTTTTTGTTTTCTCTATTTGCGGGAAATAATATTGCACTTTTGTGGGTCATAAGTCGCGATGGATTTGTGGCCATAGGCAGGCATATATACCATAGAAAAAATTATGGAGCACGTAAAAGTGCAGAACAGAGAAATGGTACGTACTGGAAGGGTCGCGTGGGCGCATATTCATGGTTACTCACCCACATGGGGGAAAATTTACAAAGGGGGCAGCTTATATATTTTATCATCTCCTCTTGTCTTCGTTTAAGCGAAGCGAATTGGAACATATATGACCACGGCGTATTTTCCTCGCCCGTGATTAATCTCTGCTCATCATACTTGGCACTGCCATACGATTATACGTAGCGTTACAAGTGCATCGAGCAGAGCTAATCCAGATGCATGTGTTCTTTGGAGGATTAAAATATAGGATGTTACGAAGGCAGGCAACTTTGAGGAAAATACTGCTCAAGTGACTTGACCGCTTTGTACAATTTTTAAGGAAAAATAAAAAAATAATTATATCGACATTTTTTTTAAAAAATAAAATGAATAAAAAAGGATGAGGAATTTTTCCCATTCATTTTGTTTTATTCTACATTTTGTTTTTCCACATCCTTGAGGCCCCCGTTTTAACCATTCTTTTTTTTTTTTTTTTTTTTTGTCTTGTTTTTGTGCCAAAA